TTCCAGCCAGTGGGGATCGATCCGGGATTCGGGATCAATCCGGCCGGCCTCCTTCTCCCCGTTGGAAATGCCAATGCCCACAGGGACCACATCTTTGGTCAGAGTCGCTGAAGTGTCCAGTGTCCAGACCTCGCTCGGAGCATCGGGATGTGTGACTTCGGATCTCTGCGATTCCATCCGAAGTTCCGGTTCCCTATTAAAACTTGTTTGTACCCATGAGGAACAAAGCGGACTGTCTGAGGCCTCCCTTGAAAACATGTTCAAGAGTAGCCAAGCTAACTCAATGGGTGGGCGTTCTAAAAACTATTTGAAGTTCCTCAAACCAATTTGAAAGACTCTCGAAGGTGGTTGAAAGAAAGGTTTAGCAAACAGTTGGCAGCTATTTGGGGCTAGGTTGTCATGTCATGTGTCGCTCCATTTGCGTGCCAAGACCCCTAACCATGGTGCAATGCACGTGTTCTTCGCCTTTAGTTCAGTCGCCAAAAGTGGACAAGATGTGTCTTGGCCCAAGAAAAAAGCTACGGGCAGTTTGTGTTGGCACAGGGCTCTCTGGTGTTTCCCCTTCAAGACTTGCCAATTTACGGGTGGCTTCCAGTGGATTTTTTTAGTTGGACCCCTGTACCTCAGTACCTCAAGCCATGAAAAAAGAACGGCTCAAGAATCTCGTCTTTTAGGAAGACCCTCAAAGTGGCTTGCCTTGGCACATGGAACCAAGGACTCCAACCTGCGGCCTGGTTGAACACTTGCCAGCCTAAGAAATAGCCCATCGGCTTTCCCTTTGGTTTCCCTTTGAATCCACCCAGGGGCACCCGCGGCCCCTTGAAGACACCGCCATCATGCCAATACTGGTGGTCAAAACGAGCCTGGCAACGACTTCTTCAACACACACATGAATGTGGGTGTTCTTTTTCAAAGCCAAAGAACACGTCTCCTGTTGATTTAGCAGTCGCAGAGGGTTCTACGAGGTTCCCTTTGACACATCACTCCGCCAAGAGTAGTGTCACTTGCTCCAAGGTGAGAAACAAGGCGAATCTATTTGTCTCCGCGCCTTACAGAAGATCGCCTAAATCGGATGAGGAGACCCTAGGTGATCTTTTTGAACCAACAGATAGAGATGGCACTGGTGAAAGCTAACAGCCAAACTGAAGCATGGTTGAGGAAAAATATGGTAGGGCCAAATCTTGTGATACCAAGGGGATCCCCTTTACAAAGAAGTCGTCGTGGATATCAACAATTTTGGTATCACAGATATCGGGTGAGCGTGAACTGACACCATTCCAATCGACTTTCAACCACACCGGCCTAACAAGGACACCTGAGAGGACATTACTACGCCCCAGAATCTTCCTTCTGACCCGAAGTAGACAAAAACAAAGCAACCCCGCACGCCGAGTGCGGGACCCGCTTCAACCAAAACGAGAGGCCGAAAGGTACGCAAGAAACTCGTCGCCTATTGGTGCCAGCATGGTTCATATAAAGAGGCCAAACAATTGGTAAATTACACACACACATTTATACATGTTGATCAAGACTTAAGTTGGATGTAAAGTACGTACCCACCGGCGCATTCAAATCCTTTAGGCAGGTATAGTATGAGAGTTGGAACCGCCCCCTTGTTCCCCACCAAACCAAACGTCAGAACACACTAAACCTACTCACTTCGCGGGTGTTTGGCGCGGACAGCGAGAACCCCCGCTTGAAAACCGGTCCGGAGAACCGGACCCTGCGCCTTCCGGCCAGCGAAATTCGGGGATGAGCCCCGGGGGGTTGGGCCCCGGGCGCGGCGGTGGCCCGACTTCTTCCAGCCCGGCAACCGCGCCACGTCCGGCAACAGCTCGAAGCTCCGCGCCGCCTGAGCGCTCCATGCGCGAAAAGAGGAGAAAAAAAACAGCCAAGGAGCTAGTCCAAGGAGCTAGTCCAGTCCAAGGAAAGCCACAACCTCGATTGAAAGGGGAATTTTGCAGGGCATGCCCTGGCACACGTTTTTCACCACATGCACGACCCGAGCTAAAGTCCCTGTAGGCAGGTATGGATCCCTGGAAGGGTAAAATTGGCAAGCTGCCGGAACGATTTCTTTGGAACAAAAGAGAGTGTTTTCAAGGTCCCCCCCCCAACATGGCTGGTTTCCTTTTGGTATTTTTCATGTTGTGCCGGCTTCTATTTGGAGGCAGTCCACAGAGAGGACCATGATTTCATTAACCTGCCATGTGCACACAAGGGAAAACACGTGCAATGGTGCAAAGCTGCTTCATCCATCTGGCATTGGAGAACGCAGTAATGGACTTGCAAGCAAGTCCAATCAGAGACTGCGCATGTTCGAGTGGCAATGAGTGAGCTTAATCCAGGTGTATCCCTTTTTTGAGTGCGCACACGTTAAAACATGTCCACTGCAATAAATCCCCTGCCCCCCAACAAGAAAGGAGTCATGGAAGCTTAGAATATCTTAAAATGTGATTTGTCTATTTTGTCTATTTGCAAGAAGAAGCGAGAACAAAGTCCTCGCTGTGGCCCTGAATGGATAGGGAGGGGTGGCAAAGGCCGGTCGCCCTTGGTGAATTCCGATGTTTTGCTCTCATTGTGTGACTCCATTTTAGGGGGGATCGTGTTTACATCCCAAAGCGGTCGAGCCTTTCTTATGTCAACCTGAAGCAGAATTTGACTGGCGGACTGGCGGCTTCGCCAAGTTTCTCGTGATTCGGGGAGTTCCGCGCCCAAGTCTTCCCTGTAGGGGTCCCAACTCCCATAAACGTAAAAGTAAAACACATGTTCTGGGATCCCTGTCAAAAGAAAAGCTGAGGTCCCACAGGGAAAATGGTTTGAGATCTATGGAGAGGGGTCGACTTCTCGTTTCCGCGGGCATGTGTTTTGCTTGTATGTCTTGATATGTGTCTTTCTCTATTTTGGGGGACCCCCGATGAGCGGTTTCCTTTCACAACCAACCAATGGGGGGGGACCCTTCAAAAAAAAGAGACGCGCCCCATAAAAACATGTATATAAACATAACAAGTCTAGGTACTAAGACTAAGAATCCGAATTCGCGTACAAACGCTTCGTATGGATATTGCTAAAAAATCCAAACAATATTCGCAAAGGACAGAAGGGTGCAACCCAGGGTCCCAATGGCTTGCGCGCCCGCGCGCCTCGCCAGCATCGCCAGACTTGTTTGAAGAGACCTGCCGGCGGGGGTTTTGCCCGGTGGATGAGGTGGCCAAAAATGGATTTGGAGTGTTCACCAACGACGACACCTTGTAACTCACCTGGGCACAGCATTTTTGCGAAAGAGAAGCCTTTCAGCGGTTCGCTGGTTTCCATCAAATAAACTTTCTTGCCCTGCCTGAAGTACCCTAGGTCTTTGACCCGCACGATCCCATCTATGCCAGGCTACTCAACATGCAGACCCATCGGTCAACCCTGGTTCATCCCACATGGACCGTGGGATCAAATCCTTCCCAGGCTGGGAAGGATCTTGCGGATTGCCTTTGAACAGTGCACAGCCTTCCAAGGGCCTTCCCTTTTGTTTGTCCCCTGTTCACCCCAATCAAAGGCAAAGTGAATGAACATTGGCGCCAAAAGGCGATGTGAAGTCACTCAATGGCAGCCCTAAGGACCCTGAGGGGTCACGGCCAGAGCTTTCATCCCCCGCGTGCAGAAATCAGACTCTTCTAAGGGTTTTTGTATTACGCCCTGGGATTACGCCCACTAGGAAATGACCCCATATAGGCATATGTCCAAGATAAAATCATGTTATGTTGGACCATTTTGGGCCCATTTCCCAAGGGTGTAATCCCAGGGTGTAATACAACAACCCTCACAACTCTATTTCCATCACCCATGCTATGTTGGCAAAGAGGCTGTTCTTTGCAACCAGCCACTAGAAAAGAACAGCGCCTACGGAAAGAGAGGCCTGAGTTGGTATGATTCGCTTTTGCTTGAAGTTTAGATATGAGTCGCGGAGGTTCTGAGGTGCCATATCCAAGTTGAATCAGCACGGCATCCCCCGTACCATAAGGGGGAGGGGGGTGAGGGGTCCCCGGAGCCCAATTCCATTTGTCTAGTCTTCCCCAAAAATGGGAAATGGAATGACAAATGGAATGCCAGGGGTCACCCCCCTCCCCCAGTTCCACATTTAAGGGGGTGGGGATAGCACGGCTTCTCCCTGCGCACCCGCGGCTTTCTTTCTCCAATCAATGCGTCGCCGGTGGCAACTCATCATACCCAGGCAGGATATACCCAGGCAGGATTCACACAACTCCCGACCGGGGTGCGAGCTTCCATGGAATCGCGGGCTCGGTGTTTCGCTGTGAATCCTGCGGTCGGCTTCCCTTTTTCGGGACACCAGACGTTGGCTGCTTGAAACTCATTCTAAATGCCAAAGCATGTCGGCAATGTCCCTGCAAGATGTGCTGGTCTAGCACCGATTTCGGTGCATTTGGCTTCCCACATCCAACCCAAAAAGTGGTGCCCTGAAGAAGAGAGAGAATGAGAGATCAATATTCGGTGTCCAGTGTCAACTCAAATTGGAATTGGACCCCATGTTGGATTGCTCAATCCTTGCGAAGATTGATCCGTTTGGGCCGCCACTAACAAGCTGGAAGTTTGCCAAATACCAACTATCGGTTGGGATTCAATCAAGTGTTTACATCTTGCATGGACCTGCCTTCCGACCTGAGTTGCCCGTCTTTGGGTATAGCTTCCCAAACCATTGCATTACTTGAAGGGCTGTTTGGGCTCCCTTTGGCAACATGAGATGCCACGTTGGGTTCCGAGAAAAGGTGTAAAGTCAAAGCCGTGCCAAACCGCACACGGTTCCATACATCCAAGAGCAAACCGGCGCTAGGGTAGTGGTTCCTAACCGGATTTCTATCAAGGTGGGGGTCGAACAATTACCCCTGACTTGGGAACATTAACAATCATGGGGCCATGATGTTACAAGCATGATTTAGATCCGTATCATATGTGGGATTTCCCCAAGGTCCTCAATGTCCTCAAACATGGGTTTCGGTTTACCTTTTGCGGGAAGTCAACTTGTTCGTCGCCCAAGAAGGATCACTACTGCGCTTCGCTTATCCGCAAGCTCTCAGGAGGCGTTGGCCGCAAGCGGCGCCAACTCCGTCTCCGTGTGTCGAGGAATCTCCACTTGCATCACTTGGCTCTGATGGCCCTCGGGGACCATCACCTGAAAAGAGCCGAAGCATTCGTGACACATTGCCGCAGGGTCTCCCCATTCCTATTTAAATGCAGACGTAAAGGAATGAATGTTACAGCGAATCGTGCCATCTATTTTCACCCAAGTTTGTCCCCGTGAAATCCACCGCGTCGCTGTGTGTGTGGTGACTGCCCTTTGTCTTGGGCGACGCGCTGAGCTCGCATCCCGCTCGGGATGACCTGAAGTCCGTTTCTCAGCATCGAAGATGCCGCGTTCTGTTCCTTGATGTCCTGCTGGAATTTCGTGGCAGGCGCGGCACTTTGGAGCTTTTCGTGCAGATTTCGTGGCAGGCGCAGTGCTTTGGCGCTTGGGTGTAGATTTCGTGGCAGGTAAGTCACTTTGACTCAGCGAGATAGCTCTGGCTGTGGCGCGGTGCACATTTTGAGGACCTCTGGTCGAATCGCTCTGCGGCACTTCGCTGCTGTTGGAGCCCGTCGCAGCTCTATGTCCTGACGGGCGACTGCGGAGAGAGAGGATGACATCAATGTGTGACACCCACGTGGATGACTTTCTGTGCTTCAAGGGCGACTTCAGGGCGCCTATGACTTTGGCAAGCAGGAGTTCGCTGGCACGGCGAACCAGAGGCCAGGTGGTCACGGTCGGTGGATACGCGCCGAAGGAGACGGTGCTTGTGAACGGATTTGTTGTTTCGAGCGACCAAACCCTGGGCGCGCGATTCCGGACCTTCAGCACAAAATAAATCCCCTCCAAACTTCGCTATCATCTCCGCGGACGTCTTCGTTAGCAGATGTTGATTTTTAACGTCCACCATCGCCTGAAGTGAAAGTTCATGGTGAATCCAAGATTCGGCATCGCCGTGGGCATCACGAAACGTGTGGTGAGGCTCATGGTCATGGTCGGAGAATGGGTTTTGACCTGAGTCAGACTTACTACAAGTCTGGCTTTGGCCTTCCCAGTGCTTTTGCATGTTAAGACCCAGCACATTCTCATCGGATCGGCGCATCTCTTCATCGAAGTTCCCCCGCCTCCTTTCCATCATTTTGGCCGAAAGCCAAATCTCCCGAAGCCGCAAGAACTTCCGGGCATCAGCCGCGCTCTTGGGCTTGAACTCCTTCTTGACGAAGAAGCCCTCCTCGATCTGCTTGGCGAAGCTGATTGCAGGCTTCTCCTCCTCCAATGGAGCCCCCCCCTCTCCGTCTGCAGGTTCACCCGCAAACTCCATCCGGCACTGGCAGCCTCCGGAAGTCCGAAGGCTTCAGATGTTTCGGCGCGCCGGTCGCTCCAGATCCGTCCCATGTTGGCACCCTGTGCCACAGCCTCGAAGCGCTTGCACCCTCCGGTAAAAGCCGCTGAGCTTCTTGCCCAGTCTTCAGCTCCGCGACTCCCACGTTGATTTTGCTGTGTGAGCTCTCTGCTCAGCGCCTCGTGTTTTGTCCGCAGCTCATGTGCACAAATGTCCCTCACTCTTGCACCCTGTGTCCAAACGCTCGCAGTCGCCACATGAATCTCACCACGGATCCGAATGAATCAAATTTCCTCATCCCTCTTTCAGGTGAAAACGACTCCAGGCGTTTTCCCCAGAAACATCACTCCCCACCATAGGTGTCCTTTTAGGGCGAATAGATGGCCCTGCAAGATGATTTCCAGGGCCATCTATTTTTCTACCAAAGCAACCAAAAAGGACCCCTGTGCTCCCCACGCGTTCATCCCACGTCGTTCGTCGTTCCATTGGCTCCAGGGGGCCACGAAGCGGCCGGTGGGCCCCGTGACCGGGAAGGTGTCCCCGGCCCGCAGCCCCGCGGGCACCGTGACGTTCATGAAGCTCCGGGAGCTTCTCCTACGGGAGACACTGGCGGTGGTCAGAACCGTTTTGGGATCCCATTTTGGGGTTCGGTGCACCCATTCTAGAGCCTATTCGAGTGGATTTGGACCCATGGCCACTTGACTGCCAGCGAGTCACAATCGAAACCCGGTAAAATGGTGGTAGCATGCTTCAATATTTGTTTGAAGGCGGAGATCCGCAGCTATGGGTGGGATTGTTCCTTAACCTTCATCGACCCGGGTTTTGATTGTGGCTCAGGGGTGGTTCATTACCCCGAAAAGGGGAACCCCGAGAAGGTTCAAGTCTATCTCGGGGTAGTCAAAAAGTGATACCCGGCTCCTTCGCCAGAACGAGAGGAAAACAAGCGGCCGGAGACAAATGAACAATGCCCGGACATCAATTCCCTTGGCGTGTCATTCTTTTGTAGCGTACAACCCTTCACTCACTGGCTGAGTGGATGGCCCAAAAAAAGTCCAAACTTTATATTTACCACTAAAATGGTGTTTCCAAAAAGTTTAAAGTTCATGAACTCAGGAAGTGAGTTCGTGGTTCAAAAGGACCAGAACTCTCCGAGCATCGGTTTCGCCGGGCGCCTCTCTTCGCTGGGCGGGGCGCTGGCGTCGATGAGCTGCGCGCCCTGCCCGAAGATCTCGTCCATCACGGCCTGGCGGTTTTCGGTTTTCACAACTCACAAGGCCGGGGATCATGCAGTTGGTGGGGTGTTTGCTTTTGCCCCTTGACAAAAAGGGGGTTGGTTGGCGAATTGAATCAGGCAAACCCAGTTTACCCTCAGCACCAGGGGCGTGTTGCCAGATTTCGCCATATTTTTGAGAGAATCACAAGTTTTAGAGGGAATCCTGGAAGTTTCAGGGGAAGAACAACAAGAGGGTAAGCAGGGTGCTCAAAGGGGAAAAAGGAAAATGCGGTGGACACCTCCCAGCGTCACAAAAGCAAACAGAATGGATATCCATCCATCCAACCAAGCCAACCCAAACCAAACCAATCAAATCCATCAAACCCCATCCAACCCATCCAACCCAATCCATCAGTGCCCCATCAACTCAGCAACCCATCAATCAAGCCAACAATCCACAAATCTATCAATCCAACAATCTATCAATCCAGCAATCAATCCATCAATTGATCCATCAATCAATCCATCTGAGCCTGATTCTGGGTAGGTTTTCCGCGCAGCTTGGTTTCCTTGGGCCATCCAAGGCAAGCAGCGCAACAGGTGCTTAGCAGACTTTGGGAATCAGTGCTTCACCAAAACCCGTCTTCACAGATCATCCAAGGTCCCAAATGAGCCACACCAATAACTTCTCAGGTTGGCCCGCTGGAAAGAGGCGGGCCAGCGTCAACCCATTGGCGGGGGGCATCGTGGCGAGCTGACAACACGGCCATCAACGGGAAGGGTTTGCCGCACCTGCAAGAAAAGCAGTTGCGAATGCGTGCCTTGAAGTGGTGGTGAGAGGGGCACTGCAGCGAAAGATGTCGCGCAAACGAGTTCCAGGAAATGACAAGCTAACCTTTTTTTTTTTTGCGGCCACGACAAAGCATTGACCAACAAGGGGAAACAGAAAGGCCAAAAGGCCGATTCGCTTGGGGCAAAGCGACTCTTGATAGCACCCCCATTCAAGGCGTCAGGGTCAGCGCCTGTCCAGGTGGATACTGAATCTTCTCCTTATTCAGTAGCAAGTCCAGCTTCACCTCAGCCGGACAATGGGCGTTTCAACCCAATACGGTCCAAGTCGAGCACCCCTTGATAGACACCCCCCTCAGCCCAAGCTGGGCACAGCCTCAATGAAACCCAAGCGAGACCGGGGAAGTACGACAAATAGCCTGAAATCCCCAGTGCATGGCCTCCAAAACCGCGTGAAATGACCCTGGATCCTCTCACCCTGAGCCCTTAACCCCTCAGATCTGCCTACTCACCCCAACAGTGGATTCCAACTCAGTATTGCAAGTGCACGCATCCAACTACAATTCCGTTACTTGCATTTTGGTGGTCGTCTTGAGATGCCCTCTTTAGGGTTGTCAGAAAGGGATACCCAAGTTGAACGCCCGTGAGAAACAGGGCTCAAACTCCCAGTGCAGCCCAAAGACACCGAGCTTGATAATTTCCACCATCAGATTCTCCTCACAAAGCAACCGCTTGCGATCTCCAGGCGAGGGATTCGTTGGCGGTGAATGACTCATTGGCAACCAAAGAACCTGAAAAGCCCTTTGGGACTGGGGCATTGTGCTTATCTTTGGTTACCGCAATCGCCATGGGAAAGCCGAAATGTATATTTGCCTGGAACAAGCATTGTGCGTATTTGTTTGGGAATACTTCTACTTTGGGAATACTTCGAAACTAGGGATGGAGGAACACCCAACTGCTTTGCTTCTTTCAAACCCCGCCTAAAACACGAGCCAAATGCCATCTCATTAGGGCATCATAGGCTGCTTCAAACAGGGTCGTTCTCAACACGTGTGACCCTACAAAACTCCAATGGTTTTCCTGTGAAATTCCTGCGCAAACAAGTCCCCGGACCGCAAACCCCTGCAGCAGCTTAATTGTCCCACTCAATCAGCTTGTCAATCTGAATTGTACCCATGAATGCTCCAGCTACATTCCAGGACAACTCTACACCTGAGTCTCACTGGAATTTGGATGGAATCTACTTGGAGATACCCTGTCCAATGAAACCCAGTGAAATTTCAATGCAATTCCAATGACATTCCAATGAAAATCCATTGTTGGGCCCTCATTCCACTTGGCCAATGCTACTTTTAAAGGGGAACCAAGCTCTGGCCTTGCTTCCCACCAAGGACAAATTCAGTGCTTTTCCAATGCTTTCCAGCTCTTTCCAATGAAATTCCAAAGAAATAACTGGAAGTTCACCTAAATCTTGCCCCCAATCAGGCCAAAGAGACCCCATCCGAAGCAGCCCTTGATGCCCCCCTTGAGGCCATCCATTTTGAAAGTGCCGTGGGATGTGTCCAATGTTGAGCGTACTCTCTTGGGGCGTTCCCAACAAAAACCGCTTCCCTTTGACCCATCTGGAGCCAACAAGCCATTTCGTCCGTCCAAATCATGTCGCTGTGTGTTAACTGCTGAGACTCTAGCTTTCCCATTGCATCTGAGACGTCACACCAAAATACATGTCATCTTGACATCGAAAAAAAGACCATATTCAAGCCACCAAACAAGGCACCCTGCAATTTCCTGCGCAGTACAAGGGCTTTGTGGTTGGACATGGTTGGCACACTTGCAGAATTGCGTCGGGATCCACTTTACCTGCACAAAACCAAAAGCTGTCAAAACATCTAATGGGCATCCGGATCCACCGCAAACCTGCCACATAAGGTTGTTTTCTTAGCCCAGAAGAAGCTCATTGGTCGAAACAGGTTCAAACTATGCAAACTGGTGATGGGTTTCGACTGACCTGAGCCGACTGGCTCAGGCCTTGACCAAAACCACGAACATGCCAACACAAAGTGTCAAGTAACCCAAGAAGGCTCCACATATATTGTAAACCGTTCTGATGTTTCCCGCAGTTGCAACCCAAAGAGCAACCCAAAAAGGCAACCCCTAAACATAGCAACCAGAAAACCCCCGCCCCCACCCAGAAAAACAAACAAGCAAACAAATAGACCAACATTCCGTCTAAGCTACAACATCATTTTGGAGGAGGCCCCAGAAAAAGGCACCGAGACGACAAACATCTGGTCGACTCCTGCTGCCGGATCTGTGCGATGTTCCCCCGCTTCACCTTGCGGGTGCCAAATTTGTCTTTAAACCCTCGACCCCTGGCCACGTTCAGGAACCAAAGAGGAGGCCGTGCAAATTGATTAAGTTGTTCAAACAGCTGGGCGTTGCATAGGGGTCTGGAAAAATGAAGGAGATTACCTATCCCCTGTTGGTTCCCTTGGAAGAAATCGAACATGGGCCATTTCGCGTACTGGTTGATTTCCTCGGTTTCCCTTGCCAAAAGGGCACCCAAGCGCAAGAGATCGACACGGCCAACTAAAATCGAGTGCCCAAAACCCATTGACTTTTGATATCCTAACTCTCACCTACTCAAATGGCTCTGTCTTAGGGAACCCAAGGGCTTGGAGAAATCGGGAAAGCCCCGCCAAATTCCTTGGCTTCCCCTTTGGAGACATCACCAAAATGGCACCCCAAAATCACGCCCGCCAAAATCCAAAATCCCCCTCCCTGGGGCCCAGGGGTGCCGCTCCCTGCGCCTTGCGCTGCTGCAGCTCCGCGGAGATCTCGTTGACCAGCGCGTGCTCGCAGCCGCAGCCTGGGCAGATCTCGTTTTGGTCCGTGGAGACCTGCCGGTCGTGTCGAGTCAAGGGGCCCGCTTGGCCGGCGCCATTTGTTGGGGCGCCGAGAAAAAAAACAAAAGGCGGAGAAAAAAGGCCTTGAAAAGGGGGCTGGTGCAAAAGGAGACCAAAAGGAGAATCACCTTTTTGAGGTCCCCCCCCAATTTGGACACATACATAAGTAGGGAATAAGCTAGAAGGACCCCTGAGAACCAGAGAGGAACACTCAGGCCAAGACAAATTGCGTGTCGACCCTGCTTTTGTTGACCCCCAACCTGTTCTTGGGTCCAACCAAATGGTGCAATGGAGGTCAAAAAAAAGCTTAGGGGTGGAAACACAGGGCACCTCCAAGTAACATAGCTACTGTCGCAACGATTGGTAACAATTCGAAAGAAACAACAATATGGATAATTATACAGAAATTACAGTGGCAACGAGTGGTGATTTAGGAGAAACCAATTGAGTGCACTTCTGTGGATTCACCCCAAAACTGCTGATTCGCACGGAGTGACTTTAGGTGATGCCACCGTAGCGTACCTTATTTTGAGTGCGCCCCTACGCAACAAATATAAATGATGGGTGTTTCATCTTTTAAGTCACGATCCAAAATGACGCAAGCAGGCAAGCAAGCAAGCAAGCAAGCAAGCAAGCAAGCAAGCAAGCCACGCAAGAAGGCAGGCAGGCAGGCAAGCAGGCAGCCAGGCGGGCAGGCAGGCAGGCAAGGCAGGCAAGGCAGGCAAGGCAAGCAAGGCAAGCAAGCAAGCAAGCAAGCAGGCAGGCAGGCAGGCAAGGCAGGCAAGGCAAGCAAGGCAAGCAAACAAGCAAGCAGGCAAGGCAGGCAAGGCAAGCAAGGCAAGCAAGAAAGCAAGCAGGCAGGCAGGCAGGCAAGGCAGGCAAGGCAAGCAAGGCAAGCAAACAAGCAAGCAGGCAAGCAGGCAGGCAGCAAGCAGGCAAGCAGGCAAGCAGGCAAGCAGGCAAGCAGGCAAGCAGGCAAGCAAACAAGCAGGCAAGCAGGCAAGCAGGCAAGCAGGCAAGCAGGCAAGCAGGCAAGCAGGCAAGCAGGCAAGCAGGCAAGCAGGCAAGCAGGCAAGCAGGCAAGCAGGCAAGCAGGCAAGCAGGCAAGCAGGCAAGCAGGCAAGCAGGCAAGCAGGCAAGCAGGCAAGCAGGCAAGCAGGCAAGCAGGCAAGCAGGCAAGCAGGCAAGCAGGCAAGCAGGCAAGCAGGCAAGCAGGCAAGCAGGCAGCAAGCAGGCAAGCAGGCAAGCAGGCAAGCAGGCAAGCAGGCAAGCAGGCAAGCAGGCAAGCAGGCAAGCAGGCAAGCAGGCAAGCAGGCAAGCAGGCAAGCAGGCAAGCAGGCAAGCAGCAGGCAAGCAGGCAAGCAGGCAAGCAGGCAAGCAGGCAAGCAGGCAAGCAGGCAGGCAGGCAAGCAGGCAAGCAGGCAGGCAGGCAAGCAGGCAAGCAGCAGCAAGCAAGCAAGCAGCAGCAGGCAAGCAGGCAAGCAGCAAGCAAGCAGGCAGGCAGGCAGGCAAGCAGGCAGGCAAGCAGGCAAGCAGCAGCAAGCAGGCAAGCAGGCAAGCAGGCAAGCAGGCAAGCAGGCAAGCAGGCAAGCAGGCAAGCAGGCAAAGGCAAGGCAAGCAGGCAAGCAGGCAAGCAGGCAAGCAGGCAGGCAGGCAGGCAGCAAGCAAGCAAGGCAAGCAGGCAAAGCAGGCAAGCAGGCAAGCAGCAGGCAAGCAGGCAAGCAGGCAAGCAGCAAGCAAGCAAGCAGGCAAGCAGGCAAGCAGGCAAGCAGGCAAGCAGGCAAGCAGGCAAGCAGGCAAGCAGGCAAGCAGGCAAGCAGGCAAGCAGGCAAGCAGGCAAGCAGGCAAGCAAGCAGGCAAGCAGGCAAGCAGGCAAGCAGGCAAGCAGGCAAGCAGGCAAGCAGGCAAGCAGGCAAGCAGGCAAGCAGGCAAGCAGGCAAGCAGGCAGGCAAGCAGGCAAGCAGCAGCAAGCAGCAGCAGCAGCAGCAAGCAGCAAGCAAGCAGCAGGCAAGCAGGCAAGCAGGCAAGCAGGCAAGCAGGCAAGCAGGCAAGCAGGCAAGCAGGCAAGCAGGCAAGCAGGCAAGCAGGCAAGCAGGCAAGCAGGCAAGCAAGCAGGCAAGCAAGCAGGCAAGCAGGCAAGCAGGCAAGCAGGCAAGCAGGCAAGCAGGCAAGCAGGCAAGCAGGCAAGCAGGCAAGCAAGCAGGCAAGCAGGCAAGCAAGCAGGCAAGCAAGCAGGCAAGCAAGCAAGCAGGCAAGCAGGCAAGCAGGCAAGCAGGCAAGCAGGCAAGCAAGGGCAGGCAAGGTCTCGATACAACTTGGGCAACGGTGTCTTTTTGAGAGGACCGCTTTTGGGGTTTGGCGGGGAAATCAAAGGCACGCCACCCATTTTGGCCGCCAAATAGGGCCCAGTTAAAGACACCCATATGGGCTGTGCCTCAAAATGAAGGGCCTGCAATGGTCTTCCTTTTGAAATCCAGCAAAAACGGGTACCGTCAAAAACAACAGGGACCTCAGAAATGCTTGCTGTTGGCTTCTCTTTGGCTTTCCCTTTGGCATCTCAAATGGTCTCTCTTCCGGATCAAGCAAACAACCCATGTGTGAGCGAATATGAACGCTCCAGTTCACTGGTCCGGTGACCATTTCGTGTGCTTCTCAAATGGTCGCTGCGCTCATGGGGCTCTGTCATCTCCAAATCAGCTTCTTCAGCTTCCCTCGAATTGGTGGTTTGGACTGGCGATTTAGTGGTTCGGGGTGGTTACCCATTACCCTTCACGGGAAGCAGGGGTTCAAATCCCAAACCACCAATCCAAACCAGCAACTAAGGGGTACCTGACTTCTGGCATGAGTTCAACTTCAGCGCCATGGTGCAACAAGAGCTTCTCCCAAGACCACCTTGTGTCATGGAGCACAACACCGCACCCCTTCCCAAAAAAAGATTGCCAGGCGCTTCATATTAGGTCGGAACGGGCCCCGCAGGTTTCAAACACAAACAGGTCCCGTCCACGTTAGCTCTGTCAAGCCCCAAAAAAGTTCGGGAGCCCAGAAAGAGACGGGCTTCCGCGGCTTTGGTTGACTTTAGAGGGCACCCCACCAAGGAAAAAAGGCTGCAAAGGACCTTCGTGGGTCCGCGCAATTGTTGCCCCTTTTTTGCGATCAGCTCGAAACCCGCACAAATAGGCAGACAGATTCGCGGAGCTGGGGCTGGGCAAGCGCCATGGGCCAAAAGCAACTTTCTGCATGTCATTTAGGTTGACGTTGGAAGAGGAGCAAACATTTACTTTGTTTAGCAGCTAAGTGGGGATTTCCCACTAAACTGCAATAAGCAAAAATGTAAAATGGTTCCCAACGACGACCATGCCATGGTCCTGGCTCCCTCAATAGGAATCTGCACAATGGCCGTCCAACCATGACATTGTCACTGTCATTGTCACCCTCAGAGGTAGCTTTGGAAGGGAAATGACGTCCCAAGAAGACTTTGAGAACCCCAGTCGCACCCCAAATGAGCCCCCCCCCCCCCCCAAAAAAAAAACAACAACAACTGAGAGGACTTGGTGCGGATCGGTTCCCGGGGGCTGGTCGCCTGCACGCAGAGGCCGCCGCAGTTCTGGACGGGCTCTACGGAGCCCAGAGACGCGTAGGGCTCCCGCTGCCTCACCTCGAGGCAGAAAGCGGTCGGTTTGGGGGGGTCCTTAGGGTCCTCCAAGGTTAGAAGAAGTTGGTGCCCGATTTTTCTTCTGTCTACTTTAGGGGAAGAAGGTCCCCAAAAAAAGCGGGCGAGAAAGGGCACCTGGCTGGGGGACCTAGTTAGGGTTCCCTAGGGTTCCACTTAGGTCCGGGACTCCCATGTGGAGAGACGTCCGATCCGGAGTGAGAAAAGTCATCCCTCCCTCCAAGCAGGAAAGTTAGAAGAGGATTTGTGTTGGGGAAGCCCTCTGTGAGCTTTCACGGAAGTCCAAAGAACTCAAGTGAGATGAAGCTGGACAAGACCCCCCCTTTCAGTTTAGTTGGAAAGGAACCCACATGCTTGGCATGACGGAGACGCCTTGAAACAAGTGAATGGCAACCCCCATACAGAATCAACGCACTTTGAGGAGTTTGGGAATCCTACGGCAGGGATTGAGCGGAATGGCAAGAATCAACCATAAATGAAGCTTGGGATAAGTTCTGCAGATCGCAACCTAAACGTCCACATCCTCAAACTTACCGAAGCGAAACATCGAGGAAACGTCGATTCGTTGCAGAACCACGTCGGGGTGAGTTGCAAGCCCTGGCACCCCACTGAATCACTTGGGAAAATGATGGCATCATTCCACCACTACCAAATTAGAAGAACGTTGAATCGGGTGTCTCCGAAAATAGGGAGCCCCCTGAGATGTAGGGTTTCCCTTTAGTCTCCTTTAAAGCCACCCCAACAAGGTTGAGACCTTTTGCAACCATGAAGAATCACTCAAAGCAATTGAACAGGGGCCGAGAGAACAGGGTCTTGGTGCACTATTAGTTCGCGTCACTTGATAGAACCGTGGGCGGCAGAAACGGCGGGTGGGCGGCACAGAGTGTTAGACCCGAGTAGGCCGTGATGTTGTCCAACAGCAGGTGTACTGGGCCCATGGTTTTACCGTCCAAGACACCTCCTACGTGCTAACTTACAGGGAACAGCCCCCAGTTTCAGACTTTGATAACCTCCCAAAACGGTCACAATGACCACAGATTCAGGACAACACATATTCCAGTCAATGTGTCGAACAGCTGCGTATGGGATCATGCTGTCGATTGTTCCAACACAGCTCATCGATTCCGGATGCGCGGTTTCGGTTCCCGTTGTTTCGGCTTTCAATATTCTTCGCTATGCTACGGTAGGACTGACGCAGGTGTCAAAATTTGTGTAAAGCGGGGCTGCACGTGAATCCAGTGTGGTCTTTGATATGGCTTTGTTTACAGGGATCACTCACAGTCGAACCATCAGAATCCTTCTCCGGTGGTCCAACCCTTGTTCGGGTTCATGGCGGTGCAACTAACCCCACCACGGGACGCAGGACTCGTGGCAATCTTGGATCACCTTTCGCCACCAAAGTCAGCCTTCCAGCAGCAAAACCTCTGCCTGGTGACGGACGATTTAATATGAGATAAGAGAAGCACTGTGCACTCGAATGCTTGGGTGCGTCACTTGAGTGGCTACAGTGTGCGCGCAAAGATCAAAGCCCTAGGTTGTACCTGGAGGACCAGGCTGAGGCTGAACACAGGCAACTCGACAAAAAGAAGCCTAATATAAATAGGTTGCTCAGGACCAATTCCTGGGTTGCAGTCTACAAAAAGGCCTTCATGTCTTAACTGAGACTGAATCTTCGGCTTCGGAATGCAGAATGGGGCACCGCCCCATCATTCAACTAAGCGTTTATTTTAATGAACTGGGTTCCCCTTTCTCCTTTGTTGCCATTGACATGTCATGATATTTTGCAAGACCAGGTTCCGTTTTGCTTTGCCCACGCAAAACGGTCCCCAGGTTTTTGCGTCGACCAGTTTGGGGTCCAACCCCCAAATGGAATCACTAAAATGGGACTGGCTCGACATGGCAGGCTGAAGCATTGAGTTCAACCCCAGCCTCGACACCTCTGAAGGTCCAAATTCCGGCTCCCGCCTTCGAGCAGCAGTTCTGGAAGTCGTAGATTGCCTCCTCGTCGTTCAAGACCAAGTTCTGCTTGCCGCAGCACATTCTCTGACCGCAGCTCGTGATCTCATACTCCTCACCCGAGAAACGAAGCCACACGGTTCGTGGCGCCGGCGGCGAACGCCCTTCAACAAATGGATACTATGTGTGCTCGTTGATGGTCGGTGGAAAACACAACGCAGTTTCCCAATAAGGTAGACATTCAAGATCCGACAAGATGGCAGTCTAGCTATAGTTGAGTTTGACTGGAAACATGGGCATTGTTCTTTTGACTTCCCCTTAAACATCATTGAACAAGTGGGTCTTAGTTTCTGGAACACCCTTCAAAACATCACCAGTCACCAAAATGAAACCCTTAAAATATCAAAACACAAGTTCGAAAACAACTTGAAGGTGGAAAACAGCCCTGCGGTTTTAACAGATCTGCACCTAACCGCGCCTATCTGCGCCTAATTCACCACGCAGAAATGAATTGTTCATCCCTCGAAAGGTGGCCGGTGAGCTCGTTTTGCCCGGTCAGCTCCCCTTCAACATGCCCCAGGGCACTTCGTCAACGTAGCCTAAACCAAAGTTTCAAATCTTGAATGGGAGCCCCGGATATGTTTGACACCCTGTTTGAATAGCAAAATCTCCCCTGGGCAACAAATCTGCGGAGGAGACACCCCCAGAAATAGGACGGTGTTGTTTCTCCGGGGTCAACATTGCCACCAACATTTTCGCGCAAAGACGTAAGGTACTAAACGTTGACCCAGTTCTGGTAGTTGTTTTTACAGATCTCAAAAAAAAGAAGAAAAACAACGAATCTAGCGAAAAGGCACTGATCCGGCCCCGCTGCGGAACGAAACAACTTTTGCTAATGAAGGAAGCCCAAAGGGGCAAAAAAGGAGATTGGTAAGTTACGTCTGGCAATGTGGGCTTTTTCACTTAGGTCGAAGGAATTGTCCATCACACCCGGGATTACACCTCAGGGAAATTATGTACACAAAGTCCGAAGACTATGCCAGATGCTATCAGGAAATTAGCCCGGTTGTCGAGTAATTCTATGGGCGGAATACCAGTAGACAAACCTTGGGGCCAACTCTGGTGCACAAAAAGCATATTCCGGGCATAGGTCTGCCCTAAAACAACTCCCATGAGTTGACCAAAGTTTTGATAACCAGAAACTGTCTCTAAGTTGGGTAACAAAGTTTCGCACTGTAGTGTTCATATCACCTCTCTTAGTATCACCTTTTGCTGACTTTGATCACCATAGTGGCCCCAAACCATGCAGAGGTGAGTCACAATCAAAACCCGGTACTAAAATGGTCGACCCAGAACCATATAAAGAGTCAAGAAGGCGGCCGCAGCTATTTATGGTTGGGATTGTCCCTTACTAGCCTTCATCTACCCGAATCGGTTTTGAGCACGTGGCTCTGCGTCCGAAATCCGCGCCTTGGTCTCCATCCGCTCCGAGGCACTGAGGTGCATGGTCTGACCGGCCGCCCCCGTGGGTGGCAACGTTGGCACCTGTGCCCCGTAGACCTGACAAACGAGGGAGTGAAAGGCTTTGGGGAGTCTGGTTGATGTGTTGTTGTTCCTGTTTTCTTGTGGCTTTCCCAGTTTTCAGGGTTTTTGCTGATTGTTTTCGGTGTTTTGAGGGGGGTTGGCTGCTTTAAGTGTTTTTGGGGGCTGGTTTGTTCTGGTTGTTTAGAGGCTTTACGGCTTTAGGTTTTTAAGGGGGTCAGCTTCTTTGTTCGTATGTTGTTCTTGAAATGAGCGAAGCTTGTCTGTTCAAGTTGTGTAAGATGCACAAAGCACTTTCCTCAGTCAAAGCTAATCCGCCAATCATGAATGTTCCCTCCTAATCATGAGTTTATAGGGTGTGTCATGAAATAGGGTGGTTGGTCTCCCTTGGTTCCCTCTAAAGACACCCACAACAGGGTACCCTCAAAAAAAGGACGTCGCCTTGTTGATTCGGCGAATAGGACAACAGGGCACAACACAAAGGACCTTGGGAGTTCACTCCAAAATTCCCCCCGAATCGTTGGGCGAAAAAAACCGCTGCGCATGGACAAAGTCCACTTCGCACCGATGGACGAACCATACAGCACCAATCTAACCATCGATCGGCGATCAAATCCGCACTCCCCGGCCTCCTGCATGGTTTGCTGGGACGGCGGATATGCCACGCCCTGCTTCTTCATGAGACTGTCCACCCGGATGTCGCTTTCCTAGCCGCGAGCTGGGAAAAACTGAGACGTGCCAGAACGCTTGGGGAGTGTGTGTTTGTGTGTTCCCACTAAAGGTTCTGTTGGTGCGACCTTGTCAGTGCGGCCAGCAATGCGATGCCATTCCTAAAGGAAGCTCAGAAGCTTAAACAAGACTTGGGCCAAAAAAGGGCGGCCAAGCCCCAGAAAATGGCCACAACAATGAGAAATCCCACTGAGGATTTTCTGGGTGACAAAAGGGTCTATCGGTGGCAAAAAAAAACGAAAACCTCACCGGCGATGTCTGAAAAATCTTCGGCCAAGGCGCTAGGGCCTTCACCATGGAGTTCTCCTGGTTCCGCAGCTGCGCGATGTTGCCCCTGCCCACCTTCCGGCCCTGGGCGGCGAAAAGAAGCGGTGGCAAAATCCGGTTCAACCTAGGTACGGCTCAATCGGAGAAGTCGAACCTCAGGTTAAGTTCCTTATAGAACTCATTTGAGATCGTGAAAAATGACTATTTAACAACTATGGTGAATATTGTTAATGAATCTTAGGTGTGTTTACATACCTTTCAAATTCAGGTGTTTACAAAATGGCATTGTTTTTGAAGATGTTGCTGGGGGTCGCTTAAAAAATAATAAAGCGAAAGATAGCAACATAAGTCAAACAGGTTCTAAAAAATAAGGAGTTCAAACCAGCTTTATTAAGAATTTAGATTTAATCTACTCTCAAATATATACATATATATATATATCGTAAATAATAACATTGATAATAACAAGCGCGACTGACCGAAGCAAGATAATCGCCTATAATTACCTGGCAATTCCTTGCTCTTGTCGGTTTGTTGAGTTAGCTTGCAGCAAACACCCGCTACAAGTAAAAGCCAACATGCAAAACCAAAAGACATGCCAAGACTCAACGACTCCAACATTACGTATCTGCTTCATACTCTCGAAGGCTGCTCGGTCATGCAAAACGAAAGGGTCAAACCTTATTTTTCCGGATTCGTCCTTGTCAGGTCCTTGCCTGTTACCAAGTGGGCTGCTCTGGTTCCTGTTGCTGTGGCTCTAAATAATTTTAGGTTTCAATGGATGCTTCCGTGATTCAAGTGAGGCCCGCTGACGGCTTTTCGGTTAAATGTCTTGCACGCCTTCTGTTTGCAACTCACAACCTGCAAGCATGTACCCCAAATCCCAGTTGCGCACCGAGACAAGCGCGCGTGATTCCCCGCAGGTGCAGAATATACCCTCGGCTTCTGATTCCTGTTCGAACCATCCCAGTCCTTCAATCTTTCACCGGCAGTGCAATTGTCTGAAGTGAGAACAAGTTTGCCCGAGGAAGCAGGAAAAGAAGTTGGACAGTTTGGGGTCTGTAGCACGCCTAGCTTGACTGCCCAGCTTGTCCCTGCGGAGGTCTGGGAGGCTCGTGGAGCTTTGATGCAAGGAGTTGCGTTTTGTCCGCCCTCCCTGTTTGTGGGGGCTGCATGAAAAATATGCGCCTCGCGTCGCCTCCCCAATTCCATCTTGAGTCAATCTTGCAGGGTAACATGAACGGAGTGAGCCATGGGGCAATCGGTCACAAACCGAATTGCCCACAAATGTCCGTTGAGAGGTGCAATTTAATGTCGACTCCGCATTGATAAACTTTGCAGATTGAAAGGGCGGTTTGCCCTGCAAAAAAGAAACCCTTCCGAGATGAATTCCACTCCCCACAAATCAATTAGAGCTTTATCAACCACCAACATGGAAAAAAAACAAAATATGTTTCTTTTGGCTTCCCTCTCAGTGTCAATCAAGTCCACGAAGACGTGACGACATCATGGTGAGGCCTCCTCTGCTCACCCCTGTATATTTATAGACGTTGTCGACCTGGGTGAAATGGGGGGAATCAGACCACTTTTGAAAGGAAACACCCCCCAACAAAATAAACAGGGGTTGATCTTTTTGGGGGTCAACATTGTGCCTGCACAATCCCGGGCAAGTTCTCTGCGCAAGTTTTCCTGCGCAAGTTCCTTGCGCAAGATCTCTCTGCGAGTGGTCTCTGTGCAAGGTCTCTTGGCAACTTTGTCGGCGCAAGTTCTCGACGCAAGTTTCTGAGCGCAAGCTCTCAGTGCAAGTCACTCTGCGCAAGTTCACAGACATTCTCTATGTGGAAGTTCTCTCTGCAAATGTCTGCGTGCAGCTTGCTCAGTGCAGGTAGCTCGGCGGCCAGCATCTTGACGCGAGCCTCTGTGCCGAGGGCTGCTTTTCCTCTGAACAATTGCGATTGGGCGCACTCCGTGTACTACTTGTGTGCTGAAAACTTGCGATTCTTCAGCTGAAGCGGACCGATAAGGCCCAGTTTCCGGGAATCAAAAAGAACGTTTTACCACCCGCTGGCACGTGCAACGCGCACGATCCGCGCAGAGGGTCGTGCGGGGATGTTAAAAAGGCAGAAAAGCCCTCAATTTGTTTAAAGGGCCATCTCTCCTTGGCATCTCTGAGTGCAATGCAATCTCTCGATCGATGGCTTGGTGATATCCCTCTGCAATCTCGGCGATTCTACCGCAAGAAACCCGTCGATATGCAGTCAACAGGAAGCAACAAGGCGCGGCAGCAGGGCGGTCTTTTTCCTGCGGAACCCCACACTTTGAGCGACACCCAAAAAAGTGTTCCCCGGGTCCGGGTTTTCTAGAAGGCCCGCCTTGAAGAACACGCACAGGCTCCCATGTTCACTACGGTCGGTCAAGAAAATATGTAAACTAGAAATTCGGCATTGGAGCACGGGTTGCTAATCCTGAACGTTACTCCATGATGATTTTCCTTTTGGTCTGGAGGAACGGTGCAGTTCAAAATGTCCATCGTACTTTGTGTTGCTTTTGTTGATGATACCAACCTGATATTCTGGTTTTGACCTGGCAGTCCAAGCTTAAAACTATATCCCCCAAATCCGTTTCTGGTTTTAGACACCGAACAAAAAAAAGAGAGACCCATGTTGTTGTGGTTTTGAAGAGACTCCTCGCCTGCAGCTCCTCGGCGATCTCCTGCACCATGCCCTGATCGCCGCAGACCCCGGGGAGCCAGCCGTTCACGAGCCTGGGGAAGCGGAGCGGATTTCGGCGCCGGGGGAGCGGAGCGGAGCGCCGTGTCCGGGGCCAGTCCCGAAAACTTCCGCCGGAAGACACCGGGGAACCGGACGAACAAACAAAACGGGTCCTTTCAAAGAAAAAATCGGGATCCGTCGAGCAAAACTCGAGCTTCGCAATCGACCCTCCCACCGATTAACACATACCCTGACGCGACAGGGACCATCGAATCAATCGAAAAAAACTCACTTCCGATTGTGGACTGGACAAAACACACTGTTTAGCAACCAGCAAAATGGTCTTTCCAAAAAGTTCAAAGTCCAGGGAGCCAAACACAATCTAGTCTTGCTGGTGCGATAGGCAGGGAATGAGAAATGGAATGACCCCGAGATAACATTGCCTACTGAGCACCAGCAAGTAATCCATTAGCTTGAGACAAAACGAAAGAATCTAAGATCTTGTTTTTAACTAGCATCAACAACTCCAATGGTTTTCCAAGCATCCCTTAATCTGAAACAAAACAAAACAAAAGAGTCTTTTGTTCACCAGCATCAACCACTCCAATGGGCCATCCAAGCATGCCTTTGTGTGAAACAAGACGAAATAAGAGTTTGTTTTTCACTGGCATCAGCCACTTCAAGGGGTTATCCAAGCATCCCAATAAGACGAACTAATCTAAGAGTTCTCTCACCATCTTGGGTTGGACCATCACAACATAACCGGGTTTTGTCTGGAAGTATCCGCAAATCAGATTGTATGATCCCAGGGTACGTATGTCCCTCCAAACACCTCCATCAAACTTGGCCCAAGAAGTTGGTGTGTAACGTTGCTCAGGGTTCCTAGCTGCTAGTCAGGGTCCTCATGTTCTTTGCCCCATGCTATGTCTCATGTCGTACTGGTCTTTGTTCGGAAATTTAGCACGTTCCCTATGTCCCTCCCCAATGGACCATGACTGCTGGAAACTTTGATTGAGCCTTCGCAGAGTGCCTCCAGCCGCTCCACTGCTCAGGGGGAAATAGGGTAACCTTCAGTATAGACAGTATACAAAATGTACGGATGCGGTTGAGGGGGAGAAGCTTGGGGGGGGAAGAAAACTCTTTGGCACCCATATGTTGCTCCATACTCTGAGACTCTGTCGAACCGGTTCGCCGATTGCTTGTCCCAAGAGGCTTTTCACCCGCCACTGCCCAAGAAAAAATAGAGTAGAGGGTTGTGCCTTTTTGTGAAGCTACCCTTGTTTTTTCGGTGTTTTCAAGGGAAACCAAAAGGAAACCACCAATTTCTATCATTTGCCTGTCGCGACTCTCACCTCCTGTTGTGATGCAAGCCGATGGGAGGAGGTGACCTCAGAAGCCCACCCGAAACAAACACCAACCGCACATACCTCCAAAAGCGCCTCGGATCTCAAATGCATAAAATGACCAAGGCCACCCACTTTCAGGTTTCCCCTTTGCCTATGCGGGGGTCGATCAATTTTCTGGGCCCCCAAATGACCATGGGCAACTTTTCCCCATATGGGAAATTTCGAAATATACAATCCTTTTGAGTGGTTTCCCAACCAATGGTCATCCCAGGGGCCTTCGGACCTGTTTATCAAGCCAGGTGATTCTACCTCTTTCCCTGGCCGGACCTGCAGCAGCAGCACACCAGCACCTCGTCCACTGAGGTGAGATTCGCGTAGGGCTTGCGCTCCACTGAGTTGGTGCAGTTGTTGCTGAACGTCTCCACCATCTCGCAGCCAAATCCGATACATGGCTGTGGGTCAAAAATAGCTACCCAAAATAGAACCCTGGTAAAGGGAAACATGGACTAAAACCTGCGGTCCCCTGGTGGTTTAATTTTGACCCACAGCCACATTCCAACCTTAACAAAACCTGACTCGAAGCTCGGGAAACTCTGAAGGTTTCATACACAACCTTACAAATACCCCAGAGATCGGGAAAGTTTGGAGTGCGACCACGGTAATATTGACACATTGACAGCTCTTGGGTGTTTAGGTCCTTTTGGGGGGATGCTTGAAGGCAAACCAAAGAAACCTCCAGATTGTGGGGGTCCGGTTTTACACGATGGCTCTGCTTGGTCCGGGTCCTAAAAGGTAGGCCGTTCGCAGGGAAAATGGGGACGGGCTGCTTGGGGGCAACGCCCCTTTCCATCGGATGCCCTTGGTCTTGCAAGGGGAACAACCGAACGCCTCGAACCCCTGCAAACCCCTGCATTTTACAAGGGTTGCGGTGGGACGTGGTTTCTTCACTCGATATAAGTATATATATATATATACATATATATATATATATATATATATTCATGTATATATACATATACATATTCAGGTAGAACTAGACGACGATCGGCCCGGAAGCATAGAGGCAAGTTGTTTTGGATCAAGTGATTTAGTCGTGCGTTACCCTGACAAGCTGCGCACAGACAGACTCCGCTTTTTGTCAGCGGCTCAAATATGACACTAAAAGTTGAGGAATTTCATGCTCATCATGTCGCGCGTGTAGATCGAGTGGATCGGTATGTGGATCTCGAGATGCATACCATGCTTCGGGCGGCTCCAACATGACCAGATACACTACCGCGATGTTGATTCTTCTGCCGCGCTAGCTTGAACCAACCACCAGGCGCGTGGCGCGGAAGGTGAGGCGGGGGAGAACCACCACCACCTGGGCGAAGCGAGACTGGAGCGAAGCTCCTGGACATGCAGGCAACTTACATAGCGAGGTCTCAGCGCAAATGCACAAGCATGTCATGTAGGTTGTTCAATCTGCTGATGTTGTCCGGCTTCACTCGGCTTCCCTTGGCTTCCCTTGGCTTCACTCAAGTGCAACAGCGTGCAATGAGCACAAATGCTCAAGCATGTCATGTAGGTTGTTCAATCTGCTGATGTTGTCCGGCTTCACCCGGCTTCCCTTGGATTCACTCAAGTGCAACAGCGTGCAGGCAGCACAAATGCTCAAGCGTGTCATGTAGGTTGTTCAATCTGCTGGTGTTGTCCGGCTTCACTCGGCTTCACTCAAGTGCAACAGCGTTCAATGAGCACAGATCTCAAGCATGTCACGTAGGTTGTTCAATCTGCGGGTGTTGTCCGGCTTCACACACCTCAAACTCAGCATGAGTGTGTTGCAGCGATGCTCTAGCCCAGCTTATAATCTCAACATGCTTCGCTGGCAGAAGTTTCTGAGGACCGAGCCAAGACAAATCCACACCTCAGTTCGTTCTTAATTGCAAAACTGCCCAGCACAGAGTGGCTCGCACGTCACTTCGCAAACAAGACAAGATGCTATGTGAAATGCACATTTTTTGTCGGCAGCAATCGTGTGCGGCAGAAAGCCCTGGAAGCGCAAGCAACTTCAAGGACGCCTGGGAAAAATCCGCCTGCGCCCAGGAGCTGTGGAATGCAGAGCCAGTCGGCGACGCTTCGATCCGCCTGCGCCGCACAGACCGCCCGCCGTCCATCACAGCTCCAGCTTTCCAAAGAAGTCCACCAAGTCATCCTCAAGCGGGCAGCCATTAGCTCCATCTAGCGGCCATTCTTCTGCGCCCTTGCCGCAAGAGGTGCAGCCAACATCGAAGTCCGGCGAGTCAGCAAAGTAGCGCAAGTATGTCAGGCAGCGATCCTCCGCTGCGTACAAGAACAAGTACTCCCTCATCTTCTTGGCCGTCTTTTGGCCCGGGGCTGGCCGTGGGCCTTGCAGGCGGCGCAGCCTACGGTCTAGGACGTCCGGTCCGCCAACGGCATGAACGACGCCACGCAGCCTCAGCACTTCACGCTGCGCAACGGCAGCAGCACGTCCGGCAGCCCCGCAAGCAGCCGCGCCTCCTCGCAGTCTGGCTTCCGTGTCCAGGCGCAGTCCAACCACACGCCGCGCCCCTTCTCTTGGGGCCTGAACCCCGTGACCCTGCCCCAGTCTCAGCCGAGCTCGCGGCCAAGCTCCAGTTCCGGGCAGTCACGCCGGAGCCTGCCTCCGCCCAGCTTCGACCAGCTGGCACGAGACATCGAGGCTGCCTAAAAAAACTCTTTTTCAGGAGGAGAGTTTATTTTGGGCTACAAAATGCTATTAGCCCAGTGCCTACCTAAATGTAGGCACTAAGCTAATAGCTTTTGCACGGTTTTTGCGCGGTTTTGGGCTACAAAATGCTATTACTCCAGTCCGTACAGAGATGTACGGACCGGACTAATAGCTTTTGCACGGTTTTGCACGGTTTTGCGCTGAAAAAATGCTATTCCTCCAGTGCCTATATCAATATAGACACTAGAGGAATAGCTTTTGCACGGTTTTGCACTGAAAAAATGCTATTAGTCTAGGCCCTATATCAAGATAGACCCTAGACTAATAGCTTTTGCACGGTGCTTCTTGAAGAACTTCTTGCAGTGTGGAGCGTGAGGGCAAGGTCCCACATCCACCGAAGGATGCGGCGCAGCCTTGGTTGGGCGCAGAAGTAGAGGCTTTGGATGACCTGGATGCCGACTTGGAAGCAGACTTTGCCGATGGAAAGCGACCAGTTTGCCGGTATCCCCATGGATCCTCTTCGCCAGCAGCGGGCGGCTCCTCACGGCGGGAAGAGGCAGCGGACGACTGGTCTCCTTGACGAAAATCGAAGTCGTCCCAGGCTGCCAGGACAGCTCTCACTCGCTCCGGATCCACCTGCGGCGTGCAGCTGTTGGCCTGCTTGTCAGGATGGTTCTGGCGAAGCCACTGGAAGTACTTCTTCTTCACGTCTGCGAAAGGCACCGTGAAAGCATCCACGTTCTCAAAACCCAGCTCTGACAACAAAGAACCGAAAGGAGCCATGGCTGCAAATGATGCGATGTATCTGTTTTTCTGCAACTCGACCTAGAGACGGCTTCGCCCAGCAAGGTAACACGCGCTGCCCAAACACGACAGAGCACGAGAAAGATTATTTTCGCATGCGTTGTATTCCCTGGCCACGCTTTGGAAACATCCGCCTACGCGACGCCAGGAGATCAAATTCCGATTTGTTGGAAAAAGGCGTCAAGCTCTGCGCTCAACACTCCGCTAGGGCGGCGCCGCACTGCGGCAAGTTGAACAAGAAGAAGAAGGAGATGAACTCGGACCGGCAGCAAGCGTACTTTTTTGTATGCAGCTGAAGCGCACTGTCTCACGTGTCTCGACTTCTACGCTCGCCAAGACGGCGTGAACATGCGATGCCAATCTTGCGGACTCAACGCTCGGGGATGGCGAGTCGCACAGCCTTGCTGGCTCGTGCAAACGAACAGCGTGCGCAGATTGCGTACTCGTCTGTCTGCTGCTCGCCGAAGAAGCAGGCCTGGTGTCTACACACAGTTGAGGCATCGCCGCTTGTGGGCAATACTTTCAAAAGCGACACCATGCCTTTGCGTCGGCGGAAGGGCACAAAGCTGCCACCAAAGCATCAAGCAGCTGGGCAACATCCAAGCCAGCTGCAAAGGAGCGAAGCTGGTCCCGCGGTATTGAGCTTTCCAGCTCGGACCGCAGCCAGTCCTCGCCACGCACATCTGCTTCAGCCCGTAGATGCTCAGCGTCAAAAAAACCATCCAAGATACTCGTAGCCTGCTACGCTCCGGCATCTAAAGGCTTGTCGTGAACAAGTTGAGCATTGAGGTTTCCAAAAAGGCTAAGCAATAAAACGAAACTTGTGGGGTCTGCTTGTAGCTTCGAAACCATGCCCCTGCCTCAGGTCGGGAAGGTACGCAACACCATTGAAATAAACAAGCCATCTATACACAGTTGAGGCATCGCCGAATTGTGGGTTTATTTTCAAAGGCGACACCATGCCTCTGCGTTGGCGGAAGGGCACAAAGCTGCCACCAAAGCATCAGGCAGCTGACCCTTGGTGCGCTGCTGTCCAGTCGTGGAATCCCTCTAAGCAACATCCAAGCCAGCTGCAAAGGAGCGAAGCTTGTCCATCTTCATCGAGCCATCCAGCTCAGCATGGAGCCAGTCTCGACCATGTACTGCTGCTTCGGCTCGTAAATGCTCAGCGTCAGGAAGACCATCCAAGGGATTCGCAGCCTGCTACGCGCGCTGAAAGACACGCTCCGGTATCTAAAGGCTTGTCGTGAACAAGTTGAGCAGTGAGGGTGCCTAAAAAGTTTTAAAAAAAAAACCTAAACTTGTGGGGTCTACTTGTAACTGCGAAACGATGCCTCTGCGCAAGCCCAGTGTCCAGCCTGAGCACGTCGCCGGCGACCAGAATGCGACATGGCAACACGACACGTTGGTAATATCTTCTGGCCACCCGCTGTGTGTACCTGCTTTGACAAGATTGGTGCGCCAAGGATACAAATCCGCACTACATGGCAACACGACACGTTGGTAATATCTTCTGGCCACCCGCTGTGTGTACCTGCTTTGACAAGATTGGTGCGCCAAGGATACAAATCCGCACTTCGGAAGATGCGATCTGAGCGATGACGCCTTCTACAGCACTAGCGCGGAGGATTGCCTTGAGCATGGATGCGCGCGCAAGCAGCAATGAGGATGGACAGCAAACTCATGGAGCTCCCCGCCAAAACTGAAACATAACACGCACACAAAGAAGCACTGTCGCCCTAACCAACTGTAGCCGCAAACATTCTGTGGGCAAGCTCCGCTACTGAGACACTCATGACATCCAAGCTTTGGCTACTATTGCTCTTGTCAGCTGCCCATCACTCCACAATCCAACTACGCAAGTTCACTTCACAAGCCAATCGCAAAAGCCAACTGCCCAATCTCACTTCACAAGCCAATGACAACAGCCAACTGCCCAATCTCACTTCACAAGGTAAATGCAGTGTTCCGAAACACCAGCCAAATTTTCGAGTGTTACTTCACCATCCTAAAGCGCAAACTAACTTTTCGGGCGTTTCTTCGGCATCGTAAAGCGCAAGCAAACTTTTCGGGCGTTACTTCACTATCCTAAAAATCGCAAGCCAACTTTTCCTTTTCTACCTTCTCTTCTCGACTCAGAGTTCTTTCTTCTTTTCCGGCGGAGCTGGGGGGATGCTCGCCGCGTACTACTTTTGTGCTTAAAACTTGCGATGTTCGTGCCGGAGCTGGCGCGGGCCAAGGGGGAATCGAACCTGCGACGCCGCGACTGCGAAAGCTTCCAGCCGGAGCTGCAGGAGCATGCTCCGCGTACTACGTTTGTACTTCAACGCTGCGATTTTCAAGCCGCAGCTGCCGCGGACCAGGGGGGAATCGAACCCGCGACCGCGGGATTGCGAAAGCAGGCGCGCAAACCACGACACAACTTCCAAAGGCCGTTTCGCGAGCAAGAAAAACGCACGGCGCCGCAGCGACCACAGCGAGAGCGATCCGACACGCACGATCCCCGCAGAGGGTTCATCGGGCTCAAGACAGATTCGCGCGGGACCACAGCGAGAGCGCTTCGACACGCACGATCCCCGCAGAGGGTTCATCGGGCTCAAGACAGATTCGCACGGGACCACAGCGAGAGCGCTTCGACACGCACGATCTCCGCAGAGGCTTCGCCGCGGTCAAGACAAATTCGCACGGCGCCACAGCGAGAGCGCTTCGACACGCACGATCTCCGCAGAGGGTTCGCCGCGGTCAAGACAGATTCGCACGGGACCACAGCGAGAGCGATCCGACACGCACGATCCCCGCAGAGGGTTCATCGGGGTCAAGACAGATTCGCACGGGACCACAGCGAGAGCGATCCGACACGCACGATCCCCGCAGAGGGTTCGCCGAGGTCAAGACAAATTCGCACGGCGCAACAGCGAGAGCGCTTCGACACGCACGATCTCCGCAGAGGGTACGTTTCGTAAGCTCCCGTCGGGCCCACCCCCGCCATAAAAAGAAGAAGAATTAAGAGTCGAGATGTGAAGGTAGAAAAGAAAAGTCAGCTTGTGTTTTTAGGATAATGAGATAACACCCGAAAAGTTGACATGAGAAGTTGGCTGGTGAAGTAACTCTCCAAAAGCTGGCATGAGAAGTTGGCAGGTGCAGTGACTCTCGAAAAGTTGGCATGAGAAGTTGGCAGGTGAAGTAACTCTCGAAAAGTTGGCATGAGAAGTTGGCAGATGAAATAACTCTCGAAAAGCTGGCAAGAGAAGTTGGCAGGTGAAATAACTCTCGAAAAGTTGACATGAGAAGTTGGCAGGTGAAGTTTGCAGCCGCTCCGCTTTTAGAAGAACCCTTCGCAATGCTTCCGGGAAAAAAAAAGCAGTATCCGCGTTCACCAAGCTGAATCAAGAAAACCCTCAGCGTCAAGGCAGGTGTGTTTCTTGGAAAACTTGCACCAACTGTAATTGGCTTCGTCGAATCAAGTGGAAACTGACGTCTATCCTAGAGAACATCAGGCTCAATCTCCAACGCAGCAAGCAAAACCTGAGTTGCCTACCTCCGACCTCATTGGAGCGCTCCGAGTCCATCCGGCTCTTGCCAGGTTGGAGGGGGTGCCAAGGCTCAAAGTGTTGTGGGAAATGAAATACTCACCCCCAGGGACCTTCCTGGGCAGAGCCTGTGTTTCGAAAATGAAACAAACAACATGGTGGACGGGTCACAAAACATCTTGTGGGTCCTGTGTTGATTATTCTTCCTTTGGACACCAAAAGTCCCGCCAACTTCGGAGCTCACATCGAGTCTCGCAAACACTAGGGTTGCACTCCTGACCTGCCAACGAACAATGAGTTTGAGAGTGCCATTCAAATGGACTTATGCCTAATTGGGGACTCTCCAATGTTGGTTGCCTTTGAAAAACCAAGCTGGAACAGGCACTCTCAAAAATATCATACATCCAAATGGTCTTCCAAAGCACGAGTAGCTGTCAGTGGTTGGCCATTTGGACTGGACAACCCTAAACCCCAAAGGTCAGGGGGTACTAGCAACTCAGGTCAGGAGTTACTCGCAAAGGCCCCTTTTCACGAGGAACGTGTTGACCGGAGCACCGGTTTCGGAGAACCAACCTTCTTGGGCAAAGATGGCGCAGGCTCCTTCCAGTTGGTTGCAGCAGTCTGAATGGCTAAAGCCTGCGGAAGCCAAACGATGTGTTGCTCGACCTCGGTGGTTGCACTTGGATGACCCTAGTTGGTTCTAACAAATCAAAACCATCCGCCAGCCACATCCTCCCCCAAACATCTGTTGAATCTGAAGCCCTCGTCCTCAAGAACGACTCCTCCTGAAAACATCTCAACGTCCCTTGGCTGCACCAAACTCCTAAACCTGGCGCATCGCGCCCCAATGCCCCAACTCTTGCCCCTGATCCCCCACGGGCAGTTTCTGACAAAAAGAAGGCTTGATAAAGCATTCAGAAGGGGAGTGCGGGATGAAAAAGCGCAGCATCGCGCACCCCGAAACCCTCCCCCCCTAAGCCCTCCCCAAACCGCCCCATCCACACTCCAAACCGCCCATCACCACCCCGTATCGCCTGCTCAGGTTCCAGCACAACCTTGTGAGTGGTGCATCCCGCAAGGCCGCAGGAGCTCAGCATCGTGAGAGCGTTGTTGATCTGGCCGGACACGCAAAAGCTGAGGGGTTCATCAAACCACACGACTTCGCAGGGGGCGCTGCCTGTGACTAGGACCTTGGCTGGCCTTCAACCTTTGGACAGGCTGGTCACGGCAGCGCCTTTCCTTTTGCCTCCTGACTCCGAAAGCAAAAAAAGCCGTACCTTGGAAACTCAACACTTCTGAATGAAATGATCTCGAGGGCCTAATCAGCAGGGCGGTAAGCCCCCCACCCTCAACGAGAGGCCGTAAGTTAGAACGAAAATCCCCTGTGATGGCCTGAAAGCTCCTTGGAATACACGAAGCGACCAGTGTCTAATTCCTTACAATCTAAAGAAGAAAACAACAAATACACCTGCATAGACCCCAGATAGCAACAAACAAAACAAAAGAATGATTGCACACCAGCACCTGTCGTGCACACAAAGCAAACATAAAGCAACGCATACACAAAGAACGGCAAAGATCCTCGGGCTTTGGTTCTTGGGAACTTCCATCGGCTGGTGCTCTTACAGCTTGCGACCGGGAGGCCAGAGTTATGAGCTGACTGCATGGTGTGATTTGTCACGAAGGTTAGGGCCTTGAAATGGTAACTTACGGATGAAACTATCCACTACATAGCAATTTGACTGATTCAAAGTTTGGGGAGGGCATGAATGGGGGCTGAAGAACAAATCTTCCCGTGCATGATTGGCCCCTGTATAGAGCCCCTGGAAAAGTGTCCAAAAGTGGTTTCAACTTTTTGGACCCCCCCCCCCCTGTTTTTTCAGAGGCGAGCGGAAGACGCGCGCATGAAGAATGGATGCCCCTCTCTGTGGGAAATGATTGTTTCCATGATGCCAAAGGCAATTCCCAGAACTGCTGCGTCACTTCAAAGGGTGTCCATTGGCATCGCACTTGGCCCTCGACTCCAATGGTCCACGTTGAAAAGGGCTCTTAAAACAACTGTATACTTTGCCACAAGGTCCGGAGAGTTGGGCGATTCAACACACGATTTCTCGTGAGCGAGTCGAGCGCAATGGAAACCCTGCACCGTTTTCGCGTAATTGCATGAGGAAGCCTGTCCTGAATCATTGGACGTCAAGACTAACTAGTCGAGGTTCACAATAGGCCTTTCCCCCGTCAAGACCACTCTCGGGCAGAAATACACGCACTCGCTAAGCACGGGACAAAGAGAATCCTGTCATTGTGTTCTACGGTTTGTGTCCTGGGTTTATCTCACGGAAGCCCAAAGATGACGTTGTACGAAGTCAAGAAGAAAACATCACCAGCTCATGACCAAGTGCAAACTCCACACTCATTCGGTGGTCTTCAGGACCCAACGCCTCATTCCGCACGTTGAACTCCTTGGTTTGGAAGGTGACGCTCGGCTCTGCGTGCACAGCCGTGATAGGCATAATTTCAGGCCCCTGGCAGCCCGACAGTCTGACAGCCGTGCTGAGACCACCCTAAGACGCCAAAGACTGGCCCGATGATTTTGCCATGATCAAAGATACCAAAGTGGTAGGCTACAAACAACAACCCAGTTCCCAACTTCGATAACCCCTAAAAACAAAGACACCAAGGATTAAGACCTAAGTCTTGGGCGCCAAAAAAGGCCAAAGGCCAGTGAAGGCGGTGCTTGGGCGGGGTTGCCACGGTCGCCTTGCATACAATCACTGCGACAACTTGAGAGGCACCCTTGTGGATGGATGGACTTTGTTTCCCATCCGAACAGTAAACCAGTCTTTGTCCAATGTTCCATTTACCCTTGTGTTACATCCTGGGAGTTCGAGCATTTTCCTGCAGCTATGTTCCCAAATGAAATATGACAAAATCGCCAACCCAAAAAGGGGAAACTCGTTGTGATAGGAATAACCAAAGCCATTGCCAGGTTGCGACTCACTTGACCCACACAATTTCAAAGGAGAAATCGTCCATCTGCAGATCCAAATGGCACAGTATTTGTGGAGGAAACTGCTTTTGGAGCAACACGCACACACCGGCTTGTTTGGGCTCCGATTGAATTTTCTGCGGAGAAACCCCTGCCTGCTGGCCGTAAATGCTCGCCATGGTCTCTTGCGAGGGTGGGTAGGCCACATCCTCGGATAGGCGAGTCTGAGGAGCACACCCTCCCCTTGACTCCAAAGTCCCAACCCCTAGGTCAGCCAACAAGTGAGCAAAAGACTGCGCATAGTATGTGTGTGGTGTCTGTGGTGTTTGTGTGTGTGGGTGTGTGTGTGTGTGAGGGTGTGTGTGTGTGTGCGCGGGTGTGCGTGCGTGTGTGTGTGTGTGTGTGCGCGTGTGTGCGTGAGTGCGGTTGTGTGTGTGTGTGTGGTTGTGTGTTTGTGTGGTTGTGTGTGTGTGTGGATGTGTGTGTGTGTGTGGTTGTGTGTGTGTGTGCGTGTGCGTGTGCGTGTGCGTGCGCGTGCGCCTGGGCGTGCGCGTGCGCGTGCGCGTGCGGGTGCGGGTGCGTGTGCGTGTGCGTGTGCGTGTGCGTGTGCGTGTACGTGTGCATGTGCGTGTGCGTGTGGGTGTGGGTGTGGGTGTGGGTGTGGGTGTGTGTGTGTGTGTGTGTGTGGGTGTGCGTGTGCAAGTGCGTGTGCGTGCGCGTGCGCGTGTGCGTGTGCGTCTGCGCCTGCGCCTGCGTTTGTGTCTGCGTCTGCGTGTGCGTCCGCGTCTGCGTCTGCGTCTGCGTCTGCGTCTGCGTGTGCGTGCGCCTGTGCCTGTGCGTGTGCGTGTGCGTGTGGATGTACGTGTGGGTGGGTGGGTGTGTGTGTGTGTGTGTGTGGAAGTGTATGTATGTATGTATATATATATATATACATACATACATGCATCATATATCTCTATATGTGTGTTTTAAAGGTACCCCTTTGTTGTCAGAGCGGTCCCTCCTGGGAGATTGGGTTTTCTACAATGCATGTCGCCAAGAATGCTTGAATTATCTGGCTAGTCGGCTTCAAGACCACCGTCGAATAATCCTGATTTGAATCATTTGGCAACTCTGCTTGAACAATACTGCATCCACTTTGGGGTCAACCATTTGAATACTCTACTTCAACACTACCCAGCATTTGCACCCCGGCGGCGATTTTTGTGTATTGAATGAACACTTAATATGGACAGGATTCTAGTAGAATCGTCTTCAATGAGAATGTAAATAGGAGTTCCTTGTTTAAACAAATCTCACTAGGTGATAATTAGATATAATTCTTCAACCACAATGGATTTTTAAGGTGATGTCCCTTTCCCAGGATGATGGACATAATTACTTTCTACTTTTAACTAGAATTTAGATAGCAAGTCCTTAAAGATGTGTTCAACTACATGTTAATTGGAATTCGTACTTCAAATTGCATTTCAAAGGTGGTGTCCTTTCCCAGAAGGATTCTTCATGTCTATTTAATCAGAGTTTAAATAGAGTTGAACCAGGAACGAGTCCGGGTAGAATGTCTCATTTCAGTTAGAATTGAAATTGGGTATCCTTTTTGAACCAGGAATTCAAGCAGATGTCAAATATGGTTTAAATGTCAAGTTAGAGTTTAAAGGGGAAGTTCCTTTCCCAAGTGGTTTCTCAATTATTGTTTTATCAAATTAGTAAGGAAAGAGTTCTAGTAGAAATGATATCTTCACATAGAATTAAAATAGGGGTTCCTTGTTAAACAAAAGAGCTTCAGTTAGGTTTTAATTACAAATTGTTTTTTTGCAAAATCGAAGTCGGAGTGCTTTCCTTTCCCATGATGATTGTTTAATGTTCTAATCATAACTTCAACAGGGATTAATAAGGACAGAATTCTGGCAGAATGTCTAGTGTCAATTAGATGTTCAGTATTAGGTCCCTTTTGAACAAGAGTTCGAACAATTTTCCATCAAATTGTGCATTTCAAAGTAGACTGTCTTCCCAGAAGGATTGTCCATCTTTAAATTGGAATTCAAATAGAGTTTAACAAGGAAACAATGCCAGCAGAATCTCTAGCTTCAATCACAATGTAGACAGGCTTCTTGTTACTAAAGAGCATGTGACAATATGTTTCTACAATGAACTCTTGTTTGAAATACATTTTAAAGGGTTCTTTCCTTTCCCAGGAGATTGTTTCAATCCTTTAGTTGTAATTTGAGTAGAAGAGTCTGCAGGAGTTTTGGCGACAGTCTCGCTTTTTTGTGGGTCTTAGAAGCCGGTTTGGACCCCGAGCGGGGAGGAAACAACTTCTCGTCGCAAGGCTCTGCATGCGCTTGGCTCAATGTGTCAATCCCTACGCACGCTGCATCCAACTAAGCCAAGTTGGCACATTTCCATGGGCTGTTCTATGAAGGCCGCATGTGAGCAAATCAGCGCCCGCGCGTTTTTGTTGGCACCAGCCATAAATCAAACCGATAGCGGTAACTGGCAGTGCAACAAAAGGCGCCAAAATATGCTAGGCCTAGCAGGTTCCAGGGAGCTGGCGACGGCCAGAGCTAGAAGGACCGCCTTGCTCTTCTAAAAGGAAACCACAACAACACCCTCCCAAAAAGCAAACATGGAACCTGAAAAGTGGTCGCTGTTGGAGGGTGGTCTTCCAAGGAGCCCCTTTCAAGCTCCATGTTTGTTTCTGGGAGGGTAACCACAATCTTCAAGTCTCCCCAGATCCGGTCGCAGAAAGTTGGCTGGCGAAAAGATCCAACCAATGTCCTTCAGAGGTTCAGAGCAAGCCTGCCGGAGAGAACCAGACCCTTTCAACCAAAAATGGGGTTCTATGTCGAACACGCCGAGGAGCCAGGCCCACCTTCTCCTGGACCAAGGTGAGCTGCACCGCGAGGTCTTTGAAACGCTTCATCATATCCTGCCGCTCGTGGCGCGAACTTCCAAACATCCGGCTCCAAGCCAAACGCGGAAGAGAAGCCAAACATGCTGTTGGAGGCTACCCTTTTTGGATAGCTTGAAATGGACACCGAAAAGAACAAAACCCACCAATTTGGAGCTACTTGGGGCGATGCACTCCTCCAGCTGCTGGATCTGTCTCCTGTTGCCCCGCGCATCCACCTCAGGAAATCCCGGAAGACCCTTCAAGAGGTCCCTTTCTTCAGGTGTTCCAGAGATTGCAGAATTCCAGACATACCCTGCCCGGTTTCTGATGACTCCCCTGCAAATACCAACAAATGTTCCCTCACTTGCTGAGTGGATGGCCAAAAAAAAGTTCAAACTTTATATTTACGACTAAAATGGTCTTCCCAAAAAGTTTAAAGTTCATGAAGGAAGTGAGTTCCTGTTTTAATCATGGTTTCATTTTCATTTCGCGGTGCGAAATGGATTTCGTCCATGCACAGGGTGGACTTGGATGACTTGGGCTTCGTCCCCGCACTTTGGGATTAGACTGAGTCGCCACGCGCGTCTTCCCAAAGTGAGGATAAACACCAGACAAGCTAGCAGAACCCAATGTAAGCGCAGCTGAATTCTCGACGGGTGGATTTTTATCCACTTGTTTGCGAGCTTGTAACACACACACACCCACACACACACAAACACAGACACAAACAAACAAACAAACAAACAAACAAACAAACAAACAAAACAAACAAACAAACAAACAAAACAAACAAAAAAACAAACAAACAAACAAACAAACAAACAAACACACACGCGCACACTCACACAAACACACACAGACACAGGCGAGGTATTTAATTTAAGTCGCCCAGACTTACCATACCCCTTACATCTTGTGCACAAAACCACAACAAATAGGTGCCCCCGGAGTGAATACAGCCCGCCTTGACTAATTCGGGGCTATCCCATCTAAGGGTTCCTTCCCTGTGTGTGTGCGCACGGGAACACCCCTCAAGACACGCGCCATGTTTGGTGATTCTGAAGCTTCGTGTTGCGTGTTGGCACTGGTGGACACCCGACCCCAACGACATAGAATCGAGTGGGAACATTTCCCGTCGAGGAACTGACCAAAACTTACCTTCTTTCACAGCTCCACTCGACCCTGATCTAGGTGACCTTTCGGAAAAAACAAACGATGGGTTTCTCTGGTAAACGTGGACAAAAGCAATCTAAACCAGTGGAAGCCATCTATCAAGCAAGCTCGCCGATCCAAAGGACACCTGTGGCCTTGGCCCATCACACCTATAGCCTGTGTCCAAAATGGAGCATGTTTGGAACAAATTGGAGTGAGATCCGCTTGTTTACCCGAAATTCCCGAATCGTTGGTCCAAGAAAACTGGGGAAGGAAATCAGAAAGAACACCTCGATTAGAAGGGGGTCTAAACTAAACCAAATTGCCTCACGTCCATGCAAGACTGAAGTTTGCACGTGCTAACTTGACCCTTTAGGTTTATTCCAAATCGCCAAACATGTTCAAGGACGTGCATCACCTCCATGTTCAACACATGTTCATAAACTGTGTGTGAATTCTGCTCAGGGATCCTTTAATAGATCCTTCAAACACTTAGTGGACATCGTTTGGGTGGGGGAATTTATGTCCACCGCTCTTGACTTTTGAGGGATCCCCATATTCACACCCAATGGGTTTGAAGTTGTCTTTCTCTGAGGGGTCCCCGCAATCCCCCCCCCCTTTTGGTGATCTTAAAGTCAAAAAAAAAAGACACCAAGAGGAACACCGAAGCCATCTTGGAAGGTCCCCACCCAAAAAAAACGGAAAAGACCAGCGGCCCTTTACTCGTGCCTCACGTTTCAGGACTCAAGCCGGAGGCCATGGGCGCCCCCGCTCTCGCTTGGAACTCCGCGCGCATCTGCTCCACCAGCTGCCCGGAACAGCCGCAGCCAGGCACCAGCGGCTGGGCTTGCGGCATGCCTTCGGCGAGCCGAAAGAGTCGAGAGGCGACATAGTCGACTCCTTTGCTCCCAAACTGATCGACTCTCTTTCTCACTCCGCAACTGGTGCATGATGTGGCAGGTCTGAGTCCAGATTCAGCTCTCTCCCTCTTTTGCCCCGCAGGAGGTCTTGTATGGCGTTGACTTGGAGCATTATGCAGGGTGTTCCAGTGGGACTATTCTATGTGCCATGGTCAAAGCTTCTTATGTGGGCCATGGTCGTGGTTCCCGAAACGGAACCTAAATCCCTGTCACAGGGTCCATGACCAGTCCTGGTAACCCAAGTACACGGAGTGGGTCGACCATGGCACATATGGCTCATACATTTTGCCTTGGACCTGAGGCTCCCTTTTAAGGTTACTTGAGGTTCCTTGAATTCCATGAGCTGCGTGGCTCGAAGACATTGGGAAGGGCGGGATGAGTATACCCCTGTGGTTTGACCCAAGAAAATATCAGGTACATTTCAGGAAGTGCACTGGCAACACACCATAGTCATGGTCAACACTCCGGGCCATGGATATGGTTCGCTTGGGAAGCTTCTGCCACCGTCCATACCAAGCGCAAGTGAGCGTAAACACTTCTTATACGGCCTATGGTCATGGTAAGGATCCTTGCAAGGTGGATGACCATCCCGGTTAGGGCAAGAAAACCCAAAATGCCCATCACTCGAAGCATTGGTGTCTGAAGGGCGGAAGAGCAAACAAGTTGTTCAAATTACGCGTGCTATCAACACGAACTTCACCAAAAAGGAAACTCGTCTGGGCTTGGCGGGCCCAAGATGTTGGGAAGCCTGAAATACTGTCGAGGGCGGGGGGGGGGGGGGAGCCTTTGCACCCATAGGATATGTTTGACTCGTCAAACATAGGACTCCACGCCCTAGAACGTGCGTTTTTGGACCCAATTGTTCGCCGCCTTTTGCTCTACAAGTGCAGGTTCCATCTTTTGGTGGTTGACAAGTTTGGGCATGCCTCAGAAAAGCCGATTTGGCAAAGGCAGGCGCTCAAAGCCCAGAGAGGCTGCGCCTGGGGGGTGCGTGAGCTCCCCCGCTTGCAATACTGCGCAGCATCCGCACTCGTGCCTCAGACCCACTCCCTCTCCTGACCTTCGCCTTCAATAGAAACTCAAGCGAATACATCCACTGGAACAAAGGAAAACATATGTCCAGTGATGGATCTCCTTGAAAACCAGAGGAACATCCGCTCTGCTTCCCGTTCTCAAGTCCAATGTTGCCCAAAAGGGAAGTGTGGGGCAGCGTTTCAGAGGGCAACCCCTCAAAAGAAAGGAGAGAGGTTTGCTTTTGGCTCCCCTTTGAAACAACACCTCCGAAAAACACGGTCCCGTACAAGCAGCCCTGTGTTTTCTACCTGATGTGGGTGTATCTGTGTCTTGTTTGAGGCTACCCGTTTTGGGCCGGTCAAGAAGCATGCAACCAAAAGCAAGACGGTCAAAAGTTGAGGCTTCCCCCCGTGTTCAGCTAATGTTGACCATTGTGGATAATCCATTGCAAACAATGCCTGATTTGCCTGGGGCCCCTGCGTGGCTTGCACGGACTCGATATTGGCATAAGGCACTCTCGTGGTCACCTGAGGGATCCAACTGAGTTGGTCGAGTCGCCCTACAGGGCTGCTCCCATTCCGAATCGAGTGAAAACCAAAGGACCCAATATTCACTACCAACTTTTCCCAATTTCCCACCCCAAGGTTTGGCCACTGTTCCGAGGTCGAGTCGACGGACATGCACAGAAACCCAATGGGGCCCGCTTGCGGGCTCCAGGAGAGGTGCTGAACATGGACCCGAGGGGCTTTCTCTCTGGGTTCTGAAAACCTGTCCGGCAGGTTTCCTCCCGCCCTCTTCCCCCCCACCAACTAACATAGCATCTGTGGGAGTCCTGTGGGAGGGTGAGTCCACTTCCCGATTTGCGGGGCCTGTCAGGTGCAATGAAAAACCGGTGCCTCTTCTTGGAGGAAACCAAATAAAAGCCAATTCTTCACATGGGCGTGTCTCCAAATTAGAGACCCCAGATGATTAATCTCCTCTTGGTTTCCCATTAAACCCCCCGAACAGGTCCCCCGCTTCAGAGAGACCCGCCAAAAGGCGCCGAAGGACAAGCAACACTTTGCAGAGCCCAGCTTTTGGTTCGTCCCTTTGTTGGAAGCACTGGTGTCTCTTGTGGCTCTTGGAGCCCACGCTGACCTCAGGCCTCCAGTGGGGGAAAAAGACCCTTCCTGTTGGGTTGCAAGGGCTGCTCAGGGCAATGCTTGGCGCTAACCCGGTGAAGTCGCAAAGCTCAAAGCGTCTTGGACTGAAAAGTTGAAAAACTGCAGTTTCCGACTGCTGTTGGCTGCAGAAGGAGATGGAGCTGTCATCGGCCAAAAGAATCAAACGAGGCAGCGCCTTGACATGGAAAGTCCAAAGTTTGGCTTCCGCGAAAACATGTGCACCCTGGCCTGCCTGTCCTAAGCACAGTGTGCAAAGAAAGGGCACCTCTCCAAACCTTCGATTTCTGACAACCATGGCGTCTCAGTTGAGCCATGTTCAAACTTCAACCCTGATCATGGGAACCCTTATCATGGTGGTCCAAATACTACATTGCTTGATGCCAGTGTCCAATTACCACCGCAAAACCTAAAATAATGCTTGTTCCTTGGCAACTATTACTTTAGCAAAGCCTTTTCATGGGATGAGTTTGGCACAACTCCAAATTCCACAATTCCCCTCTTCCCAGGCGAAGCTGCCACGGTTCCAGTGATGGACTGCTTGTGTGTGAGCACTGCCTCAACGCGCCAGAGTCCCAATCTGTCCCCACCCAGAAAATGGGTTTCCCCCAAGGTTGAGGTCTTTCCCGATTAGGTGTATTGCCCATTTGTGCCATGGTCAATCTGTATGGACCGACATGAACCCCATAACAGGGAATCTAAACAACCAGGTATGGGTCTTGCTTATGGACGCCATAACCATGGCCCGCATTTTCTGGGGATATGACCAGACGGGCTCAGACAGGAGAGGTTTCAGCTGAACAAACAAAAACTCAAACACAACTTAGAAACAACTAGCCAAAAACTCGACTGAACAGGCTCAAAAAGAGCAAAGAACACACGCAAAAAAAACACAAGGGACAACTCAAGCGGCGGGATCGAGCTCAAGCCTAATTTTTCTGAGTTTGTTTCTGAGTTTTCCTGAGCCTTCCCAGGTTGGGAGCTTTCTAGATTGAGTTTTTCGGATTGAGTTTTTGCTTGAGTGTTTTTGTGTTCTTGCAAATTCCTGTATTTGCAGGCTGTGTGGCGAGATCAGGTCATAATTCTAGCTGCATCCGAGGGATCAAGAATCATGTTGCCATGTTCTGGGTTTGGACATGAAATCCTTCTGCAAATCATGTGCACAGAAGCGCCCCTGATCCAAATTCACACCCCATGATTTGTCTAAAGCTTGGAGGGAACCTACAGTGAACACTTGCAATCCCCTTCTTTCAGACACTTATTTTCATCGGGGTGTGGACAGTTGGAATCTTGCTTGGTCTGGCTTTCATTCTGGACATCCTGGGTAAAAGCCTGCCCCGCGAGCTGATCTGATAGGTCTTGCCTCGACCGGAAAGGCCAAGCCAAAAACATAGGCACTGAACTCTTGCCCTGCACCCAAGGCACCTTTTTCGGGACCCTCCCTCCAAACAGTAGCAGAGTGGGGAACCTCCCGGAGCCTCGATGAAACCTCACCGCAAGGCAAATTTTGAGACCACTCTGATTTGGGGGAACCTCGCATGAAATCTATCTCGAGGCGTCCACCCAGGGTTACCTGTTCAAACACCAATTGTTATCACGATGCTCTTTGGCTTCCGCTTTCAAGGGGCCTAGGCTTGTTTCAACACATGTTGCCCAAGCCATATTTTCGCCCAAACCCTGCCTCTGCTTTGTGGCATTTCTGTTTTGGGGGGGAGGGTGGACCCTTTTTGGACCCTGCGGACCCTACCCTCGCAATGAATCAGTTGCTGCAATGGCCATCCCTTGGAGAAAAAGCAAAACTGTTTTTTTTTGCAACACTTCCTTGTCAGGATTGAAAGCAAAAGCGTTCCTGGCACCCTCCAGAGCAAAACCGTTTACTTGCAACACTTCCCGTCCTCGGTTAAAAAAGGGCCATTTGCTGCAATGTTTTGTCTTTTGGGTCAAATCAAACCCTCTCTCGCATCAACCGCGCTGCCCTCCCCCCCGGCCTCATCCGGCTCCAGCTGAAGCAGGCGGGAGGTGCATAGCAGTCTCTCGCAGGCGCAGGTGACGTCGTAGCCCATCGGAGGAAAGTCCTGACACAGAAAGCGGGGAGTGGAGCCATCGGTTTTCCTGCAGCTCCCCAACCTCCTGCTTGACACTCCATGCGTCTCTTGGTCTTGAAAGGCTAGCAGAAAAAGAAAAGGAAGAAAAGAAAAGTGTCTTCTGGCCACCAACCGCTGGTTTCCTCCAAAAGTGATCTGAGTTCCCTCTGGAAGCGTTTTTGGAACCTTACCCCACAGCCCTCGCAGCCTCGTGGAATTCTTGGAACCCAAAGCCCACCAAGTAATACTCAGCAATGCCAAGCGTGTACTCTGCTGAACCGTGAGTCCCGCAGCAACGTGATCTGATTTGCCACAAAGCCAACATTTCGGGCCGCGTTGCCTGAGCAAGTGAGCAAGTGACAAAACAGTGAAAGTTTGCTGAAAACCATTGATTTCGGTTTTGCTTAGTGTTCCGCCCATGAGCAAGGCGATCTTCTGAGCCCTCAATTTACTGCTCGGATGGCTTTTCAGACGGCGGGCGCACGACACACTGCTTCCCTCAGGGCAAACCACGGAACCTTGCAGAACATTTCTGGAACCCTCGTGGAACCTTGTGGAGCCTTGTGGAACTCTCGTAAAATCCTTGCAGACGTCAGGGCCGCCCGGACCGTCCCACAGCCCTCGCAGAACCTTGTGGAACCCTGAGCCGTCATGGAACCTTACCTCTGTTTTCTGGGACCTTCATGGAACCTTACCTTGCAGAACCTGGTGCAACCCTGGTATAAGTGGGTGGAGCCTCGTGGAACCCTCGTCTCGTGGAACCCTCGTGGAACCTTATACCTCAACCACGGACCACCCCGCAAACAGACCCTCGTGGAACCTCACCTCAAATAACCCGGACCACCCCGCAGCCCTTGCAGATGGTGGAACCCTGGTGGAACCCTGGTGGAACCCTGGTGGAACCCTGGTGGAACCCTGGTGGAACCCTGGTGGAACCCTGGTGGAACCCTGGTGGAACCCTGGTGGAACCCTCGTGGAACCTTGGTTTCCAGAATGGTTTCCAAAGATATCCCAGCATGGTTTCCAGAAGGCTCCCCTAAGGTTGGCTTTGTCCAGGGGAAGAAAATCGGCTGCTGAAAGCAAACCGAAGGAAGCCCTTGACGCATTTCCTGCCCTAGGAAATACAAGGCTGTGCCTCAAGTTTCAAGTTCACAGCAAGCCGGTAAACCACAAAATTAGGAAGCCAGGGAGCAATTGAAACATGAGAACGGATACTGTCACTTGTTTCCCCGAAAATTGGGGCCCGGTCTTGACTCCGGGTTTTTCGTGGGCCCTGCACCCTCCTCCCCAAACCGTGCCAACATTGCCAGTGTTTTTTTCATCCCGGATTCATCTGTTGCAACTCGCCCCTCAAACTCGTTGTTCATCAACTGGGTTCCTCCACATGAGACAGGGTTTCTCCAAAGACCCGATCGGCACAAGGGTAGATGTTCTACCCTGGGATTCTGCTACTCTTTGACTAGTGCAATTGGCAGGCTCGGAAGGCAACTGCTGTGGAAATTGTCACACGGAGCCTCTCAAAGAGGGGTACCCCAAAAAGAATGTTTTCTACAAATGACTGTTTCTGGGTTCTATGCACATCCCCCTGATTGTGGCAACCAAGCCAAGGATCTCGTGCTCTCGTCCGAATCCCAGGTTTTGTTTTTTCCACCGAGGCACAGGAGGCTTGTCGACTGCCAACAGCTCCTCCGCACTTGAAAAAGCGGTAGGGGAAAAACGCTCTTCCCATCTTGCCAGGGATTGTTATTGGGTGGTTGCTTGTTTTCACGAAGGATCCATGGATTCAACTGGAACTGGGGAAGTTGGGGTCAAAGAAGATGACTCAACCGACATGAGTTTTGAATTTGTTACATCTACTTTCACCCCACAGATATGGAACAAGTGAACCAACCACATCTAACCCCCAAAGAACATGCAACGCGTGTAAAGCGCGGTGAATTGTAGGCGTAGGCCTGCAAGGGAGGCGGGGGGTTCAAAATTCAGCGCAGTTGATATGAGCCACAGCCCGCATGAATTGCATTCGGCGAGTAAGAGCACACTTTACTTTCATTGAGGAGCAAACCCACGTCACCCCTTCACTATAGATGCTGGTGAATATTGACCGTTCACATGGGACTTTGGAGAGCAACACCCTCTCTGTACGTTCTAATGGCAAGGATCGTGGATTCGCCCTAAGTGCGAGTCGATAGCTCCCCTCCCTCCAGCACCATAGCACTCGGAAAACCAAGGTGGGAGAGTTAATGGAAACCCCGAGTTTATCTGATTAAGAGGGGGGGTCCCCTTTAGTGAAAATCCGGACCTTTTTTGGGGCCGACACCCCACTAGTAGGACAGGTTTATTAATCCGGGGACAACAGTATCACCTCTTGGACCGAGAATAAACACCTAGCCCCAAATCTGGGAAAACGGCTGAAATCCAGTCGATTCGTTTTACAAGTGAATGGTTCTTGGGACAGGAACAGGAAACCACAGTGTTTGGTTTGCAACCTCGCGGCGGGTTCTTTTCATAGGTTGTGTTTCACAGTACTTTGGGTTGTTGAATGAGGAGGCCTGTAAAACTTTGAAGACGCGCTTTTTGGTTGGGCAACCCCTGTTGGTTGTATTCTTGCCTCGGCTCATTGGATTTTGCAACTAAAGCCAATCTGGGACCGGTGTCTTCCCGACTGCTTTCGACGGCTTGGGGATATTTCAAACTTGCTGCTGAACGTAATGAACTGCTTATTCAGGCAAAGCTCCTTGTAGCTCAAGGCATCTCCGATCAGGTGGTGTCTAAGAAGTGGTCCTCTTTGGACTGGATGTTTCCCTGTTTGTCGCGCTTACCAGAACTTGCCAACTTGGCCATCATTTGAAGGCGGCGGTTTTGCGTCGCCGAACGACCTACTTTCTCAGATCGCACAAGGCGCCTTCAGCGGCAGGAAGCGCGCGTTGGGCTCGAAGAGGCGCCGCGCCAAGGACTCGGGCGGGGGGTAGGTGACGCTGAAGTGCTTCATCAGCACCGGGACCTCAGTCAAAATCAAACCTCACTTCCGATCGATCGGATTTTCCAAAAAGAGTCCTAAGTGTTTTTTTGCCACCAAAATGGTCCAGACCCAAAAACTTTAACCTTGGGAAGTGAGCAAACCTTTCTTTCTGCGAAAACAAAAGGCGATCACATTTTGAGTTGACGCAAAGTCGATCAAAAGAGGAACCCAAAAGCGAAAAGGTTCTTTGGCAGTCTTTGGCCAACTGAGCATCATGCCACAAATAAAAGGTATGAATGGACAAAAATCCTTGATCTTCAACCGAAAAAGGGTTGGCCCTTTTCACCGAATCCTTTCTTGAATCGTTTCTTGGTTAAGTTTCCATACCTATAGAGCCAGCCCCACCTGCCCGGTCCGTTTGAGGACGTTTATAAACGGACACAACAATTGAAGCCGAAAGGTTGACAGGGGTCCTTATGCTATCCACCTGCATTCCATCAAAATGGTAGCGTCCTTTTGGATTTGTGGAAAAGTAAATGGTTTTACTCGCCCCGTTCGAGAATTCAGGTTTAAAGAGCCTGAGAATCGCCTCAGCTCATTCATGTGACTCACGGGCAATTTTCTTGGACATTAAACTTGGTTGCACCGCACGGCGCCTTTTCTATCTACATCGCTTTTGAAAAGAGGCTCCGTTGGCCAATAATACCTCGATCTCCAACCGAGGACCCGCCTGCACCGCCAGTTTGCCCATCATCTCCAGCATGAACTTCTGCTGCCTCATCTGCGCAACCTGGCACCCGGGGTTTCGCCTCTTTCCATCATCCAAGTCAGCGGCTGCACAGAAACAACATCCTGGAAGTGCCCCCAAAGGAGAGTCGTCTTCCCAAGCCCTCTCAGCTTCCATGATTCGAAGAACATATAGGTCAAAACTGCGGACAAGTTTGGTGGCTGGTCACCCCAAAAAACCAACCAAGAGCCAACCACAACATCAGCATCATCCTGAATGTCCTTCCATTCCCCGCCCCCCTGGCTCTTCTCCGTGTTCAAGATCATTCTGGGAAATCGCTACTCCCATTTACGCTTTACCGTATCATGGTTTAAAACATGGCATCGTTCATTCTTCCCAAGCAAGGGTTTGCACAGGTTTCAGCTTGGGATTAAACTCGTGTTATCCCCAATTCAGTGGAATCGCTGAGCGAAATCGAAACCAGAAATCCTTGCTGCACCGTTCTTCCGGCCTTGCCGCGGCCGTTCTTCCGGAGATTCAACTCTCGGATGATCTCCTTGACAATTCGGGTTCCCGCGTCAACTCCTCTCATACTGTGTATGGACAAAATCCGATTCGCAGCAGTTGGTAGGCGGCTTATCCCAAGTGGTGCAGGGTGTCGACCATCCACAGTGAGAATCCCTGAGTAGAACCCCCAAAGCCGAGGAATCTTCGCGCCCGGCTATACCGAGCCAACTCCACGTGATACCTAACTACCAAGCACCAAACCGCCTCAACAAAAACAATGCAAGCAACACAGCAAACAAGACCAAACACAACAAAGCGAAACACATAACTGGCCGATGTTTGGATAACTCCACTTTGTTGGTCTTTTGGTGAAATGACCATCCCGAAAATGGTTGAGACATGTTGAGAAACACGCCACAACCATCTCGCCCCCAAAGGCCTGCCAATGCAGGGTGCATGTTCGTCCCGCCCAATCATTGCAGCATTGTACCTTTAAACCGCAATTGCGAGACTTTTCAGGACGCACTACAATGGTCTCAGTGCAAGGACCTCTGAACCGGTAAACCACAAGGGTCGGTTCCAAAACAGTTCCAACAACGTTCTGATTGTTTGCAAAGGACGCTCATGTAGCATCCGAAAAGCGCACGTTTGTTAGAACCCGTAGACCACCCAAATCGCGGCTCTCCTGCACCTTGGCCGCCTCACAGCCACAGCCAGGCACGATGCCGCCATGGCCCTCCTGACGCAGCCGCAGCCAGCCGCAGCCCTCGATACCGTTGACTTTTGTTTGCCCACGGCAGGCTGAAACCCAAGGGTGATGCCTTCGAATGTATCTTGGAGTTCAAAAATGGGAACCTCGCTTGCCAGAATCTGGCACATGGTGCACCTAAAATGACGAACGTCAACACCGAGGAATCTTCCGAGAGGTGTCCAAACCGCGCGAGAAAGCCAACATCGGGGATCCCAAAATATTGACTTTTGCAAAAACCAAGGCAACTTAAAGGGTATCCTCAAAACATATATATATATATATATACACAGCCAGTGACCCTATCAGTGACAGGCGACACTCGCGTCCTCATTCATGGGCGCCAGATCCGAGTTGATGGCCGCGCAGGTATTGCAGCAGATCATGCGCTCTTCCAAGAGGTCCAGTTGGGCGTAGGGCCGCCGCTGGGTTTGGTTGAAGCAGCAGTTGCCTTTGGGTAGGGGGGGGGGGGGGCGAAAAAAAATTCCGGTGCCGGAAGTCCGAAGATGCGGTTCCGGAAAATGAGATGGCTCTGTCTTTAAGGGTGCCTCACTCTCTTCCCTGGCGTTAAAGACGAAAAACAAGAAGACCACCAATTTGAGGGCTCCATTAACAAGACACACCCATGGCCTCGTGCTTTTCGTCCCATGGGCATGCCAAGCCACCGGGTTGACTGAAATGGTGCAAACACACCCCGCGACCAAAGATAGGGTATTTGCAAAATGACAAGCCGCAAGCTCCATTTGCAGGGCAGAAGATCTGTGGGAGGATGCATCCCCACGACAGAGATACATGTTAAGTTCATAACTCAAGTGTTTGTCATTAAGAAAATTGCTCAAATAAGCTATGGCATATGATAGGCCGAATACACTTCAAAGGTGTTAGGTTACTTTGCCTGGCTTCGTTTTCGGACTTGGTAATAGAACTCAATTCGGTAGGCCCATGGACTCCAGGAACATCCGCCAGGAAGCAGGCATCACCCTCGCGCGAGCAGATAGGCGCTACAGTCCAGGAGGTCTGAAAGATCAGTTAAGAGCTTCCACGGTGGAACTAACTGAGTCTGTCTTCTGTGACAATATATATATATATATATATATATGGTCAGGTCCCCCCCCCTGGAATACTCAGGTGTTTGGCCAGAAATTGACATTTTGGCTGTAAAAATGCATGCAAAACACACGTTCCAGCTTCTAAAAAATAGGCTCTAAAAATGCACTCCGTTTTAGACTTAAATTCTAGCATCGGTACTTAGGTCAATCCAGGATGTGCTAGCACGTGCTAGCACATCCCGGATTGAAGATTGAAGATTGAAGATTCTGAGACCACTTGTTCTGGAAATCTTCAATCCATCCTTAGGACAAACTGATATGTGCTAGCACGTGCTAGCACATCCCGGATTGAAGATTGAAGATTGAAGATTCTGAGACCACTTGTTCTGGAAATCTTCAATCCATCCTTAGGACAAACTGATATGTGCTAGCACGTGCTAGCACATCCCGGATTGAAGATTGAAGATTGAAGATTCTGAGACCACTTGTTCTGGAAATCTTCAATCCATCCTTAGGACAAACTGATATGTGCTAGCACGTGCTAGCACATCCTGGACTGAAGATTGAAGATTGAAGATTCTCTGACAACTCTCTCTGGGATTCTTCAATCTTCAATCTTCAATCCAAGATGTGCTAGCACGTGCTAGCACATATCAGTTTGTCCTAAGGATTGAAGATTTCCAGAACAAGTGGCCCGAGAATCTTCAATCTTCAATCTTCAATCCAGGATGTGCTAGCACGTGCTAGCACATCCTGGATTGCCCTAAGTACATATTTGGATAATTTCAGAAAGACTTGTCAGAGAATCTTCAATCTTCAGATCCTGGATTGCCCTAAGTGCAGATTTGAAGAATCTAAAAGGCATACCCGGAGTGGACGTTGTCAGAATCAAATTGTGGATGTGCCCTTGCACTGCCAAGCACCTGCATTTGGCCAGGGGGAAAAATGTTGTTGACATCTTTACAGGTTTTGTGTGGACTTGAGGGCTGGCCAGGATGGAAGATTCTCAATGGAAAATATAGTAGATCTTCAATCTTCAATGCAGGGGGCAAAACCTTAATGAGTCTAGAACAAACTGTCAAGTTTTTAGGGGAGCTATCTTCTCCAGTTGATTTTTGAAATGCACAAGAAACTCCAAACGAGTAAACTTGACTTTGGTTTGAACTCGAAAGCGTTTTAAACTGGATATCCTTCCCTTACTTCAATACTTGTTATTGGCGATGATTGAACCAAGTTAGACAAGCAACACACACACATGGGATAGTTGCTTTGCAACATATGTTTCACTTAGACTGAACTAGCATGTACATGGAATTCTGCACAACACTCGAGTTAACATGAAAATGCAACTGCGCAAGGACATGAAGTGTGGACTTGAGGGCTGGCCAGGATTGAAGATTCTGAATTCTCAATAGAAAATATAGTAGATCTTCAATCTTTAATGCAGGGGGCAAAACCTTAATGAGTCTAGAACAAACTGTCAAGTTTTTAGGGGACCAGGATTGAGGATGTTCTAAACATATGTTTGTGGAATCTTGTATACTCGATCTTCGATCTAAGGCAACACGATCTGAGCAAATGCTGAAAACACTGCGTTTTACAGCATTTATGCCAATAATAAGATCTGTGATTGAAAGCACGTTCCAGGCATTGGCTTGGCTTAGTTCTTGCTTGGTTCAAACCACATGGAGTTCGACAAGGACAATAGCCATCTTCTCCAGTTGATTTTTGAAATGCACAAGAAACTCCAAACGAGTAAGCTTGAATTTGGTTTGAACTCGAAAGCGTTTTAAACTGGATATCCTTCCCTTACTTCAATACTTGTTATTGGCGATGATTGAACCAAGTTAGACAAGCAACACACACACACATGGGATAGTTGCTTTGCAACATATGTTTCAATTAGACTGAACTAGCATGTACATGGAATTCTGCACAACACTCGAGTTAACATGAAAATGCAACTGCGCAAGGACATGGAGCAGGAATGAGTTCCTTTTCCCCAAGTTGATGATGTGCTGAATTTCGCTGCCAAACCGGGGGTGCACGTTGTCAGAATCAAATTGTGGATGTGCACTTGCACTGCCTGCATTTGGCCAGGGGGGAAAAATGTTGTTGACATCTTTACAGGTTTTGTGTGGACTTGAGGGCTGGCCAGCATTCAAGATTCTGAATTCTCAATAGAAAATATAGTAGATCCTCAATCTTTAATGCAGGGACAAAACCTAATGAGTCTAGAACAAACTGTCAATTTTTTAGGGGACCAGGATTGAGGATGTTCTAAACATATGTTTGTGGAATCTTGTATACTCGATCTTCGATCTAAGGCAACACGATCTGAGCAAATGCTGAAAACACTGCGTTTTACAGCATTTATGCCAAATAATAAGATCTGTGATTGAAAGCACGTTCCAGGCATTGGCTTGGCTTAGTTCTTGCTTGGTTCAAACCACATGGAGTTCGACAAGGACAATAGCCATCTTCTCCAGTTGATTTTTGAAATGCACAAGAAACTCCAAACGAGTAAACTTGAATTTGGTTTGAACTCGAAAGCGTTTTAAACTGGATATCCTTCCCTTACTTCAATACTTGTTATTGGCGATGATTGAACCAAGTTAGACAAGCAACACACACACACATGGGATAGTTGCTTTGCAACATATGTTTCAAACAGATTGAACTAGCATGTACATGGAATTCTGCACAACACTCGAGTTAACATGAAAATGCAAATGCGCCAGGACATGAAGCAGGAATGAGTTCCTTTTCCCCAAGTTGATGATTTGCTGAATTTCGCTGCCAAACAAAAATAAGAAACACACAATAGTAGAGCTGCTACAGGCGCATTGAGGCTGCCAAAGCATACTTCGCGCACTACTCTTGTACTGGACGGTTGTGCTTTTTGAGCTGGAGCTGCCAAAGTGAACTTTGCATACTCCAATGTGACTTTAAGTGCACTTCGCGCACGCCAATGTGACGGTCACACAACTCGCAACTCCTTCAACGTTGAGCTTAACTTCTGCTTTGTTGGAATTTGCATGGAGTTGAGCGTCCAGCCAGTTCATTTCAGAGTCGCAAGGAATTTGTCACCCCCAGTCTGGCAAAAAAAACCTCAGTTCTGGCCCAAAACCTGAGTATTTCAAGGGGGGGGTAGCATATATATATATATATATATATACTAGTGCGGTCCCTGCCCTCTTCGCGCAAGCTCTCTTGCTGCTGCGCTGCTTGACATGTTCTTCGTTGACTCTTTAGTGATCGGCACCCTCTACAGCTTACTAAAAGTAGATGCCGCGGCTTCCAAACGCGACCTTTGAGAGTCGCTCGGCTCATCAAATGTCATAGCGAAATACGAAAACCCGCTCGAGACCAACATGAGTCGGGTGCGCTTCGCATGGCCTTTGACAAAAGTAGTCAACATCCCCATCCCCAGTGCTTCAAGAAAGGACATGGTCGATTATGAAAAGTGGGTAACGCGGCTTCGAACTCGAATCGTGCGAGTCACTCGTCGGCAGCAGAGTTCCTTGCATGGCAAACTCTGAAACTGAACTTTTCGAGAGTGACATGAGTCGTTGATTAAAGTGGCCCACACCCCCAGCATCACCAGTGCTGTAGCAAAGGATGTGCTTTTCCCGTAACTAAACGTAGATGTCGCGATAGTTCGTAGACTGCAGTAGTCGACACCCGGCACTTCCAGTGGCTTCATAAGGAATGTGCTGCTTGTCCGCGTACTGCCGGCACCCTCAGTGTCGCCAGGGCTTTAGTAAAGGACATGTCCTTGACCGAGTTCTTTCGGAAAGAACAACGGACACTTGCCTCGCCTGCAGAAGCCAAGCAGAGAAAGACATGAGGCCGGCTGCAGCCGAAATTGCATTTTCCAGACCGAGCATGTGTGAGCAATCAACCTGCTTGATGCCGCCTAAACTTCGGCCGGGGTTCGTTGCCTACAGTGCTCGACACTCCAGCAACACCAGTGTTGGAGTAAATGAAAGGCCTTGCTGCGGGCCACTCCAGAACCGGAGCATCAAAAAGCGCTTCAGTCAAGGAATTGCCATTTTTCTGCACTGGAGATTGGAGGAAGAAAGGGGACGGAAGTTCTTGAACTAAGAAAACATCTGAAACTTGCTGCGACTGGAGAAGCCAGGCAAATAAAAATGAGCCAGTCTGCAGTTGATGAGGGTCTTAACCAACGACCACAATCATGCGGCCGCGAACACGGCAGGAGGCGTTTGAAGGCACCCCCACACAATGCCTCAGCAGGACAGCTCTTCCGCAACCTGCTGAACATCCTCAGCATCGCCAGCGGCAAAGTGAAGGGCGGACCTCAAGATCAGCTCGTGCCTCACAGATTCAGCTGCCAAAGCTTCCCTCAATTAGGAGCCGGAAAGAGGTGTTTGCATCTTCTGGGCCGGAAGTCGACTCAAGTTCAGTTCGAAGAGGAAATCTGAAACTTGAGTCGACTGCAGAGGCCATGCAAAGAGATGAGAAAGGCTCCAGTTGATGCGACTGGCGCGGACAAGGACTACAATAGTAACAGCCGCGAACAGGGCATAAGGGAAGGAAGCTGACGTGGAGCGCCCATGCAGGGCTGACGTGGGCTAAGGTACCCAAATCCCCATGGATCTGCACTGCGCGCGGAAAGCCAAGACAAAGCTGGAAAACGTGAGAACTGGGGATGAGAAGCGGGCCGAACACCTGGCCCTGTGTATGAAATCGGCTCCTCCGCATGCGCGGAAAAACCACCTCGTTCACGACACCTGACGTAGACAGGTGTAGCGGCAGTCCCAGCGCGGGTTTGGAAGGGGTGAAGCATCAGCTGGTGAGCGCTCGCTTTGCGGACTTGCGGACTTTCGTGGGGTCAACCCACCAACACTTGTTGTTGTGTTTCTTACAATTGTCACTCCGTTCGCTCCACCCGAAGGGCGGTCGGCTAAAAATTGTTGCTTTTGCGTTGTTCTCTGTCGCGGGGTTTGTCGACAGCGACAGAGAGAGGGAGAGAAAGAAAAAAAGAGAAGAGAGAAAAGGGGAAAAGAAATGAAAAGCAGCACTCGCCGAACCACAGTGCTATGTTTGAAACTTCGCCCGGCTTCGCTGGCTCGAGTGTCGCGGTCATCCCTGGTGGACCAAAAGCATTTGCAAGGACTGAGTTGCCCGTGTGCAGGACCATCTCTTCCTTCTCCAGCGTCAAGCTCTTTCCTCGGATGCAACATTCGATGCCAGACACCAAACCTGTCTAACCTCCGGTGTTTTTTGCAGCTACCAAACTTAAACGAGGAAAGACAGTGGGTTCTCTTCGTAGTCGTTGTCCAGGGTTGGGCCACAGTTAAAATTATGGCTCACATCTGTCCAAAATCCTCATTTAGGCTCTTCGTAGTTAAAGAGGGTGGTCTGGTGTTGTGTCCAACGAGTGAGTTAAGAGACACACAGAGAAAAAAAAGGCAGAGAGACAGAGAGAGAGAGAGAGAGAGAGAGAGAGAGTGAGAGAGAGAGAGAGTGGGAGCAAGCAAGAACGAGAGATACAGACAGAGAGAGAGAGAGAGCGAGAAAAAAAGAGCATCAAACACATGGGTGTGTCTTAAAATGGGGACCCCAAACAGGCTGGTGTCCCTCCAACCCCAAAAGGGTACCCACAAAAAGAGACAGACCCACATCAGTCACAATCTAAAAATCGGAGAAGGAGTCTCCCGAAATCTATGGTCAAGAATACAAAGGATTTCTTGGACCTAGTTAAGCTTATCTACCGTGAAATCCAAGAAGAAGAACCTTACTAGGACTTGCATCTGGGATCAAACCTGATCAGTGGAAATTTGCGCGTAACTAGCGTGCTGCAGGAGTGTACATTTATGCATGTCTTTCCCTCGCCTTTTGCCCGCCAAACAAAAACTGCATGAACGAATCTGGTCCATATTTGGGGATTATTGAACAAAAGTATAAGAAGAGACCAAACACTTCAAGAGATATCCCACCAGATACGCAGGTGTCTGCGAAATATATGACACACAAATCATATATATATGTGTATGTGTATATATATATATATGTATATGTACACGTGCAAGTGACCCATCATCACATTTTGTTCTGTCCCCAAGAGGACGTGGGAAGTTTAGGGTTTGTTCCCGGGTGTTTGTAAGAAATGGGTCCCGAATGAACCGTGTACCCAACCTCATATGCTACGATGCAAAGATGCCCTGCGCACTCTCTCGCTGAAAGCTCAACCGGTTTTGATGATGGCTCTGTTGGGACTCTGCACATTGCTGTCAGTGGCGTGCGTCGACTCTGCAGCCAATGCAAAGACGACAAGGCGCACGCAAACACCTAGCAATAACAAATCCGATCCATTCTTCACAATACAACACAGCCAGCAGCTCAGCACAACACAGCAGAGCACAACCCCCAGAAAGAAGCTACAGGAGCAAACAAGAAGCACAGAAACCACAAGCAAGAGACACGGACAAATATTGAAGAGAAAAAGAAGTAAGCCAGGAACATATAATTTGAAGAAGGAGACTCAGAATACAATGAAGCAGAATAATCATAGTAAGCAAAAAGGAAAAGGAAAATACGCATGCCAGCAACACGAACCAGAAATATAATGCAGACACTCTTGATAGGGCAAAGGATAAAATGAGACAAAGCAGAAGAAGAAGACACAGCAAACAAAGACGATCAAAAGACAACACAACAACACAACAAACGACTTAGACAAAAACGAAAAAGAAATACCATCTCCGACATCTGCACACCCGCGGCCCAGAGACTGTCTTGCCAGGCATCGAGTTATCATACAACCTCAGAACGGGGGTAGGCTGATCACTTGGCTGGTTCCAGGGGTTGCCTCCTTTCCCATTCTTTCCAACCAAGCTTCTTTCTTTTCAAAAGTGTCCATTCTTTCCAACCAAGCTTCCTTCTTTTCCAAAAGTGTCCATTCTTTCCAACCAAGCTTCTTTCTTTTCCAAAAGTGTCCATTCTTTCCAACCAAGCTTCTTTCTTTTCCAAAAGTTCCCATTCTTTCCAACCAAGCTTCTTTCTTTTCCCAAAGTTCCCATTCTTTCCAACCAAGCTTCTTTCTTTTCAAAAGTTCCCATTCTTTCCAACCAAGCTTCTTTCTTTCCCAAAAGTGTCAATTATTTCCAACCAAGCTTCCTTCTTTTCCAATAGTGTCCATTCTTTCCAACCAAGCTTCTTTCTTTTCCAAAAGTGTCCATTCTTTCCAACCAAGCTTCGTTCTTTTCCAAAAATTCCCATTCTTTCCAACCAAGCTTCTTTCTTTTCCAAAAGTTCCCATTCTTTCCAACCAAGCTTCTTTCTTTTCCCAAACCAAGCTGTCCATTCTTTCCAACCAAGCTTCTTTCTTTTCCAAAAGTGTCCATTCTTTCCAACCAAGCTTCTTTCTTTTCCAAAAGTGTCCATTCTTTCCAACCAAGCTTCTTTCTTTTCCAAAAGTGTCCATTCTTTCCAACCAAGCTTCTTTCTTTTCCAAAAGTTCCCATTCTTTCCAACCAAGCTTCTTTCTTTTCCAAAAGTTCCCATTCTTTCCAACCAAGCTTTCTTTCTTTTCCCAAAAGTTCCCATTCTTTCCAACCAAGCTTCTTTCTTTTCCAAAAGTTCCATTCTTTCCAACCAAGCTTCTTTCTTTTCCAAAAGTTCCCATTCTTTCCAACCAAGCTTCTTTCTTTTCCAAAAGTGTCCATTCTTTCCAACCAAGCTTCATTCTTTTCCAAAAGTTCCATTCTTTCCAACCAAGCTTCTTTCTTTTCCAAAAGTTCCCATTCTTTCCAACCAAGCTTCTTCTCTTTTCCAAAAGTTCCCATTCTTTCCAACCAAGCTTCTTTCTTTTCCAAAAGTGTCCATTCTTTCCAACCAAGCTTCTTTCTTTTCCAAAAGTGTCCATTCTTTCCAACCAAGCTTCTTTCTTTTCCAAAAGTTCCCATTCTGTCCAACCAAGCTTCTTTCTTTTCCAAAAGTGTCCATTCTTTCCAACCAAGCTTCTTTCTTTTCAAAAGTGTCCATTCTTTCCAACCAAGCTTCCTTATTTTCCAAAAGTGTCCATTCTTTCCAACCAAGCTTCTTTCTTTTCCAAAAGTTCCCATTCTGTCCAACCAAGCGTCTTTCTTTTCCAAAAGTTCCCATTCTTTCCAACCAAGCTTCTTTCTTTTCCAAAAGTTGCCATTCTTTCCAACCAAGCTTCTTTCTTTTCCAAAAGTTCCCATTCTTTCCAACCAAGCTTCTTTCTTTTCCAAAAGTTCCCATTCCTTCCAACCAAGCTTCTTGCTTTTCTCAAAAGTGTCCATCTTTCCAACCAAGTTCTTTCTTTCCATAGTGGCCACTTACTTTCCAACCAAGATTCTTCTTTTCCAAAAGTTCCCATTCTTTCCAACCAGCTTTCTTTCTTTTCCAAAAGTTCCCATTC